GCCTTTGGACGATGAACACGGTAATCAGCTTTATGATAAGCTGATCATTTACTAAATCTAAAGGCGAAAAAAAAATCGGGGCGACACTGATGTTATGCAACACACCTGAAGCCAAGCTATAATTTTCTTAGCTCGCGCTGTCGAGGAATGAATAATACGAATAGCGCACTGAAAACGTTAACCCACACTAACTGTAAACTTATCACTCATGGAATTCGAATTTAAAATGACTGAGAGCCAAGATGACATCGATGTTATTTAGCCACATATCAGGGTTGTAACAACATAATTCTTCGTTTAAGCATGTGTTGATATAATATGAATTCGAAAACTCAGTAGCTATCTGACCAACTCAAATAGATGAATTCTATGAGATATCATTATTTTCAAATAGAGAAAGTGGACTAAAGCTAGATCTGGCTTTACGTCTTTGATGCGGTGAAAGGCAGTAGTGATATGCATCTTTTTTATATTGCTTTCTCTGTTCTTCAGCTTTTCAAGGTCGAAAACGTCGGACAGTTTCTTCCCAAATGACTAGGTGCCAGTTGGTCTTAGAAACTCCTACTTTAATTAATCTTCATTGGTTACCAGTTGAGTTTAGAATAACTTTTAAAGTCCTTTTATTGGTATACAAGGCCCTTCATGGCCTTGCACCTTCTTATATTTCTGACCTTTTGAATTTTAAAACATACTCTAGGTCATTGCGTTCTTCATGTAAAGAATATTTAGTGGTTCCAAGAAGCAGATTGAAAACATATGGAGACAGAGCTTTCTCTATTGCAGGACCTAAATTGTGGAACGATTTACCTCTAGAGATTAGGAAATGTGCTTCAGTGGCAACTTTTAAGCAATCCCTTAAAACTTTTTTTTTATTTAAGTTAGCATATAGGTTATGAGATTCCTTTTGTTTTGAGATGTTTTTGATTTATATAGTAGATAACTTAGGCTATATTTGAATTATATTGTATATTGTAGATATTTTATATTTTATATTTTTATATTTTATTTTGTGATTAGGTAGCGCTTTGGACAATTATTGGATTTTAGCGCTATATAAATAAAATTATTATTATTATTATTATTATTATTAAGAGTGCAACTGAAAGAGTAGTCAGACTGTTTGATTGCATGTTCTCAGGGTAAAGCTGTATTCTCTGAGGGTGAGCCCAAAACATGTAAAATCTGAAACAGCAATATAATAAAACTCTTAAAAAAAAGGAAGCCTAATAGATGTTGCTTTTTCAATTATATAAAGTTAATCCTGTGCTAACGAAGAATTTGTAATACACAATAAAAACTTGTTTTTGACCACAGTAGACCCAAGCTCCAGCTGAGAAATGATCATCTTCATGGCGAAATTACAAGAGTTTGAATGGGAATATTTACGACCGCTCTTAGCAATTAAAAAAATACAGTCAAATTCTCAACAAAAGTACCTCTCTTTACTTTCACAGTACATTGCTTGTTGTCTGACCGCTCAGGTTTACCACATAAGAGGGTTTCAGCTCTTATGTAGTAAACGTAGAAATGAATAACTCGCTAAAATAAGTTCTTTTCAACATAGTAAGCGGTCAGACAATAAGCAATGCACTGTGGAAGTAAAGGGAGGTATTTTTATTGAGAATTTGATGTATTTTTTTTTATTCCTAAGAGCGGTCGTAAATATTCCCAAACAAACTCTTATAATTTCGCTATGAAGATGATTATCTCACAGCTGGAGCTTGGGCCGCCTGTAATTTGACCTCATTTTTCGCTTCCATGGTTTGACTGTCTGCACTAATTAAAGACAGAGAAAATAAGCGGTTACAAACATAATGACATCAAATAGAATCAAGCGTTCTGACAGAGGCTAATAAAAAAATTACGAAGGGAGCGACTGCGGTGGAGAGTGTTATCAAACATAGCACTCAAGTTACAAATGAAAGTTGGCAAGTCATGAAGCATGCAGCTGGAGCAGTAAAAGGGTTTCCAAATTATATTGCAACACTGATACAGCTGAACATTGCCGTTCAAGTTGAAAGAATACATTGCCTATGTGCGCCATGAAATATTTTTAGTAAGGAATAGACCAATTACTGATGTTTGTCTGCGAGATAAACAGTAATTACTGGAGAGTAATTGGTTGAATTAAAAACTGCATGCAGGAGGTTTGCGCACACATTGCGTATTAGGGGTTTTCGGACACTAGTGTGCCTATTATATAAGATTTATTCATAAGTTACTCATACACTTTCAAAGTGAGATTCAAAAAACAATATCACCATAAAAGCAGCGTAAGTTGCCACCATTTGCTCATTTTGATGACAAGTGTACCGTACTTTATATGGTCGGGCGAGCATCAAAGAGATTGGAATGGAAGAGACCCTGGAGAGCTAAACCAAATTAAAGCAATCTTGCCTCTAACTCAATTTATTATTAGAGTGAAATCGTTTCTGGTATATTCGCTTTCGCCGCAAAAGGATTTGATTATTCGTTTGGGTACGTGTCTCGGGTTAATCTGACAGAAAGGCTACTTTCGCAAGCTTGGTGCTCAAAACAGCACGGTTTTCTGAAATAGTTGTTGAAGGTTAGCTTGGAAAAGAGGGTATTGGTTCTAAACAAACTGCAGTGTAAGCGTGCAAAATCTCTTGTTTACTATCAAATGAGGTCGATAAAGGTAGTTGAACCGTCGTCGTGGTGAAGTTTGAAAATATCAGTCGTTCTTTGGAGCAGTTTGGAGAAAGAGAATGAAAGAAAGACAGATTTCTGGATTTTAAAAGGACTACTAGAGGTTCTAGAAAACGGATAATCTAAATTCGCAACAGAGGTTTATTCATCGCTTTCAACTTATGCAATTGATAACTTCAACTTGAAAGAAAACGTGATAAGATAAGTGGCGCAGCTAGACAATACACATAAATGGACATCCGGCACCCTGTGAACTTTCTAGATGATTGCATAATGATGGCAGTAAGAATGACAATCTCATTTAAACATTTATTTTTGGGAATTTACCTCGCATGAACAGTTTACTCTTTAGTTAGAAATTTTTACTGGCATTAACGGATGTAAGAGCCATGAAGGAGATTAATTTTCTTACTGCTGAACTTGAGGTTATGTCCCGAAAAAACCTCTGAAGTAAAACGATGAGTGTATATTACTTGACAACTAGTTAGGAGTTAAATATTTGAAGGAAAGTGTGAGAGTTTTTCCCTTACAAGTGTGTTTTAGAGGTTTTCTATGTTGATGTATTTAACGAACAAATTTTTCATCGATTGGCAAATTTGTCAGATTGTATTCGCTGGTGGCCTGACGGGCGTCAAAATTATATTTTCTTTAATTATACTCTAAAAGAGTGGAATTACATAACAACTTGATTAAATTCTATTTGGCGTGAGCTGCCAAAAGCGCGGTTAAGGACTTATTTTTTATATCAGAAACTTACGTTTCCTTTTGATTTGGTTTGTGAAAATATCATTCTAACATATTCTTTGTACATACGTCGTTTTACGATGTCTGCAGTCAATTCAGCAACCTTGATGAGTTCGATTCACTTTATTGCATAACGGCAATGAATAACGGCAATGAAGTCACAAAAAGCGGCAGACAAAAAGAAGACAGACAAACTCAAAGAAAATATAAACGACTCTTGTGGGTTTATTGTGTTATAAACACATTTGGCTTTCTTTCCCGGCTTTCGAAATAAGTCATTCTTGATACCTAATCAAGCGAAATATTTTTGCTATATAATAAATCTTTTATTGACCAAGCTTGTTCATTCAAAATAGCTGGGTATTAGCCTCGCTCTCTTTCGCGTTTTTTAAGACCTAGACTTCGTCGCAAAAAAAGAACATGGCCAATATCCAGCCATCTTTACTGGTTACGCTTGTTCGATACCGCACAAGTATTTTAAGCCAATTCGTAAGTAATTCGGGTAATAAAGCATTATCAACTGAGTTGCTAACGTAAATTGGCCACCATAGTTTCAAAACTGACGTTTCGAGCGTTAGCCCTTCGTGATCGCGAAACATTCGCTCTAACGAAGGGCTAACGCCCGAAACGTCAGTTTGAAACTCTTAACTCAAATGGGAGTACAAAATTACCCTGTTATACTCTTCTACAGAAGCAGCACCACAGTTTCTTCAGAAACTTCCGCCCCAGATAATTTGTTCATGGATCCCATGTTTTGGGTCAGGAATGCTGGGCATGGTCAATGAAGTCCCTGCCAACTTATAAAATTTATGCGAACGACACAATGAAAAGAAAGAAAAAAAAATCGTCGTTTTGCACTGTCTTAGGAACTTTTAAAAAAAGTGAATCAAGTTGAGCCAAAAGAGAAAACTATGTTTGCTTTCTAACTCATTCTTCCCAAGACGTTCATCGTTACCCTCCAACTGATGAAGAAATGATTGCGTTCGAAACGCAATTCACTTTCATCAACTTCTAGTGAGTAATAAACTTCGCGTTTCTTTCGCTCACCAAAGCAACTAAACTTGTAACTTTGTAGTTATCAGTGCATGGCTGAAACAAGCCACTTCTAACCTAACTTTGCTCCCCTTACAGCCACATTTGACAAGTCTTACATACTTGTAATTGTCTTTCTTTATACGACTCCTCAACTTCACGTGCTCGAACAATAGATGACTGGAACACAAAAAGGGAGGTTTCAGGCCATATCGTAAATATTATTGAGGCTAAAGTTAACTCGGCAAAAAGTTGTGATGGCGACTACATCAAAAGACAACAGAGTATTTTTCAACAGTATCCAAAACCATCCGCGATATTATTGCTTCACTAAGTTCTGTAAAAAACTTGCACCTCCCTCTAAACCAATCAGATGCAAAACGATTCGCGCTCTTTTTCCTTTGTCTCACCATAAACTTTTACTATAGCATTTACCTTTGTTCTCAGGTTTTGGTTTTTACAACAATAAACCGAAAAACGCTCTGAGGACAAAAACAATCCATAGTCTCTAGCCGAGATCCTCAATTCTTCCCTTTATCCATCACGTAATCAATAACTGGCAATTCTTCAAATGTTTCTTTAATATCTCTTGTTAGAACTGGCGTTTCTACAGTGTTTAATTTCAACTATCACTAAAAAACTGTACAAAGCTGTGACTAGAAGTATTTGTTTCAACTGGCAGCACTTCCCAGTTATCAGGTACACATATTTTGTATCCATTACAAACATGTATGAAAGACATAAAATAATTATTATCACCTGATGCATTGACATAAAAAATAAATACTATCAATTATTGAAATGAAAGACTTTTCCTGAAAAATTTATACCTCTGGTTAGTTAACACACCTCTGAAGCACAAGTCTTAAGGTACTGTCTTGGCTTTAAAACTTTCAACTAAGAAAATGAATCTTCAGACTTTGGGTTTGTCAAAAAAAATCTGAATTTGTTTGAGATTAAAATACTGACCAAACTTGAGAATGTTCCAAAAATTTTAGAGTTCAGTGGAATAACAAAATTGCCCAAGCAAAAAAAAAAACTGTAAATTGTAAATAGTATTGGGGTGGAGAGGCAAAAGGCTGTCTAAAAACTGTAACTCCTCTTTAAAGCATCAACACATTATGCATTGCAGTGAACAGTTGACAAGATCAGATGACCTTACATGTATGTAAGGAGCATTGCTGATCTGATATTTATGGGGTTGTAGTGTTGCTACTTGAAAATTCCAGGAAATCTACTTGTAATTGGGAAAATAATGGTCTATAGAGCTCTGATGCGCCACCTTATCGCAGCATTCAAGCATGAGTACATATGCTGCAAGCCTCTGCATGCATTACAAGAAAGGTGTGTCTAAGATTTTCTCAATGCAGAATCTTCAATTTGGCACTCAGTAAAATTGTTACATGTGCACTTGATAATAAAGCCTACAAACCCCTTTGGGCTTAAAAGTAAACTTTCACATTTCTTTGAGTTTCAGTATTTATCCTCTTGAATTTCTCTTCTTGTCTTGAGAAGATGAGCAAAGTTAAAAAGTGAGAGACATCATCAAAAAGAAAAAAAAAAAAAAAAAAAAAGCAGAGACAGATTCCATATCCCTGTGGCAATATAGTATCTTCCACACATCCATAACCTGCTAATACTCATTCATAACTCCCTAAGCTGCTACCACAAAATATAAACAAATATAAATGTATTATAAAATCAAGTTAAAACCTTTGCGTAAAAGCACTAAATTGCAAACACTTACTTATCTCCTACAACACGAAAAAATGAGAATAAAATAAGAATGAAAAATGTTAAGACAACTAACGCAGCAAAAACTTTTAAAACCTCCTTCCTTGCATTGACTGCTACTGCAGTAGTCTTTTCCTCGGGTAAAGGTTTGGAAGGCTCTTCTTCTGTGATGGGTTTCTTTTCCTCAATTTTTATCTCCCCCACAGTGTCTGTCTTTGTAGTAATCTCAACTTCTTTTTCTTCTTTTGTTTCTTGTTTGTAAGTTATTGGCCCTGTGAGTCAAGTGAACATATCCCACATATGAGTTCAAAAAAGTTCAGTCAATTCTCAATGACTCAAACCTTCCACAGACATTGAAAAAAGTTTGGGTGATCAGAAGTTGATGACAAATGAATGCAAAAAGTAAAAAAAAAAATGTATGAATACTTCTATTAAAGTAGTGTGCATGCATATTTAATCACAATATGGAAGAGTCAAGAGAAAATGGAATATCCAAGCAGGAAAACAGTTTGAAGATTCATTTCACTGTGGCTGAATGAACCCTTTCCCAGCGAAGCTTGACCGAACTGGCACATTTTATGCAAAGAGTAAAAACAAAATATGACATTTGAATAATACACAGTTGATTCCAAATATTCTCAGTAATCTGTCTGTTAATTCAAATTATCTATGGTTAGCTTGCACAGAAAATAACCTGTGAGTGAGTGAAAACTGTTCATTAGTCAACAGAAGGTTGAACTTATTATAGGGTGCTTGATATTGTGACAGTTTTTGAAAAAACAGCAATTGGAAGAATGTGCAGTTATAAAAACATCCAGCATTAGTCAACTCCACTTAGCATTTAATTCTTAAACATCAAGTCAATAAAGCTTACAGTACATAACAACCCTTGAATAAGCATCAACCTCAGAGTCCATTAAGTACAGTATTTGCAAAGGCTAAGGAAGTTCAAACAAAATTGGGACAAACTTTGTGTACTTCCAAGGAATATGTGGCTGTTAAATCTTTAAAATAGCTTCATACAGTTAAAAGAATCCACCTTTTTTCCTATGAAGAATCACAAAATCTGCTGATTGAGTGGTTGGGGTTTTCAGTTTAGTGTACTCTTCAACTTTTGGTGTTGTTGTCGTCTGTACTTTTTGTATTACTTGAGACTTCTGTCAAAGACGGAGAGAGAAATACAAAATCAATGTGTATTATGAGTTATATATTTTTAATTCTGCCCCACCAATAAACCCTCAACTTGTATAATAAAGTTTACGACATTAGTTCTCAATAATCATGTAATCATAAGTCTTGAACAGAAAGACACAGCTGTAAGATTACAAAAACATGTAAAAAGTTTACCTTTGGTGTCTTGGCCTTTCTCCCTGGAGAAGGAGAACGTGTTTTGTTAAAGTGTTTAATCAAAGGTTGGCAGCCCTTCAAATTCTTCACTGGTTCCCATGAGTCGTCCTCTTTCCTGCAGCCTTTCCAGCGTATGAGATACTCCACTTTGCCATTGTGAGTTCTTTTTCCAAGAAGCTTTTCAACCTGGAATACAAATGTATCATTGTGTGGACATATATTTTGTACTTTAAAATACCTTTTGGGTCAAAATATTTTCAACTAGTTTTATGTGTACTTCCCCATGTTTCAAGATGTTCCACCACAATCTTGAAACAGAGAAAAACAAAATTCAAACTAAAAGGAATTTCAACTTAATCATTCTTAAAATACATCGTAGGTCGTAGGTCGTTCTCCAACATTTTGCATAAAGGACGATAATAAGAACACTTAATCGATTTCGTAATTGATAGTATCCAGTGCATTCGACAGAGAAAGCGCAGAGTAAATTTATGCGATCGAGGATCATTTTCTATAAGCCCAAATAGTACCCAGGGATCGCATTGACTGAAAAGTAAACGCTACAAAGCTCCAGTCTTAGCATTTAAACAAATAATGCCATTACATAATAATAATCGCCACCGATTGAGCAAGCATTGTAAATTCGTACGAATCAGATAAAGCAGCTAGCAGATCGAAGATTTTAGGCAAAACTGTAATCTTCGTTCTCTTACCGAGGAAAAAACAGAATAAGCTCCAAAGGGGAAAACCTCCCGTTGAAAAGAAAAGCCAGTCAGTTAATTAATAACGTGTAACGGCTCTTACCTCATAAAGCTCCCCTTCGGACTCCGACGAGAGGGGTGACCTAACCGACGCCATCTTCTAGAGCTCAAACGGCGCGCGTAAAAAGAAAGGTATGTGACGTCGTTAAGGCCAGGCTGCGCTGCTTGCAAAAATAAAGATACTTTGTGTATTCATACATAAAGTTTTAAAAGCTATTGGCGGACGCCTGGTCGTTTTTGTTGAATTGGCGCACAATTGGAATGTGAAAAACTTTCTTTTGTGTTTTCCAGCTGAAAATAATGTATTATTGAGGTTTTGCTTTGATGAAGTATGGAACTTGAGTCGTATTGCAGAACTAAACGTTCCAGAGAAAGTTATGCAGACGGTAATATTGGGGAGAATGCTCAGCACAAATTCAAGCGATTGTTAGGTGAGTACATGTCAAGAGTTTTATAATCGTAATTACACACCACTATTTTAGGAGGCTAAGCACTCGAACAAAAGAATTTATAGGATTAAAGAAGTATAGGTGTGAAATTTAAAATGACAACATTGTGAAATCTCAATCAGGAAACTTTTCATGTTGTTGTTCAGGTCATAGGGTTAACTTCTATTTTGAGCAACTTATTGTGAGCGTTGGAAGCTAAAGAGCTGCAGTGTGCATTGGAGTGCAAGCAATCTTAGCCAGGGGAGTGAAATGTGGAGATTCACCAAATCTTTGCCGTCAAATTTAACAAAAATAATGTGGAAGACTTTCAACCGATAATCATTTTTTGGGAGTGTTGATTTTCGATCACTTGGGACTTGCTGTAATAGTCTAGTGGCGGATATAATAAGGTTATCCACCCGAAGCAAATTACAGTCAGAGTGCACCTTTTTCAGCCAAGCAAAGGATAACTTTAAAAACAAACTGTCTGCATATTTTGATTATTTCTCTTTTCAGTGAAAAGACACCTCTTTGTAAATTGATGATTTAATGAAATATCCATAAGTTATTTTTGAATGGATGTTCTTTTTTCGTAGAAAGCACTCAGATCAAAGAATGTGCAAGCACTGATGGATCTGTGGGTGAACTAAAGAAGGCTGTTCTACAAATGGTGAATGATAATTTCAGTTTCGAGGGCATATTGAGAGAGGTCAGCCATGGTTTCCTGTTCATTTTGAATTGGATTGAGACATTGTTTGCAACACAAGAGGAAATCAATTAGATTTTAACTCAACCAAATTAAAAAAAAAAAAAATATATTAATGAACAAAGGGGGTATTTTTCTAAAGAAGGTGTGGTGCTGTATTGGTGGTAGAGTATAACAGGGTAATTAAGTATTATCAACTGAGTTGATAACATAAATTGGCCACAGTAAAGAGTTTTAAAGCTGATGTTTTGAGTGCTAGCCCTTCATCAAGGGCTAATGCTTGAAACAAAATTTTGGGATTGTGTGTTTCCTTTTAGTTCTATCAGTTTGCGTTAAGAGACTGGAACAAGGCAATTAAAAGCCAAATTTTTTTTTATCTGGTAGGGTGCATATGCACAATGTGGTCCTGAATAAGACATATCCACTGGTTAAAGATTTTATGTGGTTGGTGTTTGTGATATTGAAAAGAAAGTAGCAGATATAAATATTCAATTTTGAAAGAAAATCATAGGTCAATTTAGGAGGAAAAGTGAGAGACTGAAGCTCTTGAAAATGTAGAATTCTGTTTTTCTTTATTTGGTAAGTAAGTTCCACTTCATAGGAAGGAAATTGTGGGAATTGAGATGAATGATGAATTATTTATATTTCTAATGGTCTCATTGATCTGTTAAGATTCTGAAAAGCTTCTTTGAAAATAACTTTTATGGCATTAAACATTCCCTTTAGTCCGGTTGTATCTTACAGAGTGAAGATCATGATGAATGTGATCCACACCATAAAAATCCAAAGTTTGAATTGTGCTCTTTTCTTAGTGGTGAGTTAATTGTAAATTGTGTTACTTAGACATTAACATATTGAATAATATGGTGAAGGAAAAAAGAAACTATAGGTAGCCAGGAATCTCTCAACACAGCTGATCTTGCTGATCTTAGAAGTACATGCTGGATGATAATCAAATAAATGTGAATTTAGTATAATGGTGTAGTATGGCTTTCTGGAAATTGCTAATCAAGATCCTCGCAGAGCTCTGTGAGCATCTTGATACTTGATTCTTGATTCTCCTTTCTGGAAATGGTTTAGGATCAAGGATCAAGTTTCTAGTCAAGACTGTCAGCTTGCTTTATTTACATACCAGTTTTGTAAATTTCTCTAACTTGTCAGGCTTAAAATAAAGAAGAACTTTAGGGGGAAGCTGAGTTGCAGTGAACTATCTGAAGAAATATTTCTTTATTTGTCAGATGGTAGAAGAGAACCTTTAGAACTATGGTCAATTGATATAGTTTTTGTTATTGCTTTTTTTATACTTGTTTTTCAGTAAAAAGTTGCTTTGATGTGCTAAAATGTCAGGCTTCTAAGGCAGCTTGTCCTTTAGAATTATTGGCTGCAGAAAGGCTGAGTGGAAGACTTATTGCTGTTTGCAGTTCCTCTGAACAACTTTTATCAAAGGAACAACTGGTAATTAAGATATATTCATCTGTAAGATAGTAATTCCAACCTTGGAATATCTTCTGCTATCATGTGATAAAAATTTTATGCTTATAAACTAATTGTTAAATAGGACATAGTAGTTGAAGCTAGTAATGGGAAGAAAGCTGATCGCTTGTCACAAAAACCCTTAATATTACTACATTAATTGTTTTAAGTTATATTTTGATAAATTGTATCACAATTTCTTACCATTTCAGGAATCTGTAATGGCTGTTTTGGAGTTGATAAAGAACATGTTGTCTGAACAGTGTTTTAACAGAGTGTACTTCACAAAACATTTGACCACCAAGGTGTATAACTTAACTGACTGTATTTACTATTTGGTATGTGATTTTATTATCCAACTGCACAAAGGAGAGCACAAATGATGGATGAATAGAGTACAAATATCCTGCGATATTGTATAGTTTGTTTTTTTTGTGCTGTAAAATAAAACCTGTTTGACTAGTCGGCTATGCACGGTTTATTACTCTATCCACTTTGCTTTCTTGTCTTATGAGAAATGACCAGAAACACTTGGTAGAAAAAAAAACAGTTGGATAATGGATAACTTATTAGACATTTTTGTCAGCTGTAGCTTGGTAATTTTCACTTGTTTCTATTTTTCCTCATCCTACTGGCTGATCAAAATACAGCACAACTTGTAACAAATATTCAGTGATACTACACACCAAAATGTCTCATAAGATATAAAACACTTCATTTGTTACACTTTCCAAAGTATTTTGGTTTTGATAACTTGATGTAGTACAAAAATTAAACAGTATAACCAACAGTATAACTGTTCTGAAGCGAAAAAAATGATCATTAATGTTAAAAATGACAGTTGTAACTGTTATTGGATGGATGAACTTTAGTTTATTAATCAGTTTTTTTAGATTCTAACATTTTGCCTTCATCATTTTGAAAGAGGGTTTGAACTATCAGGGTCCCAAAAAAGAGAGGACTTATATTTAGCTATGTATGAATATTAACTTACTTAGTTCATTATTGTGGTATTAAAATTAGTAATTCAAACTAAGTCTGGCTTAGAATGCTGGTAAGACTGGCTGCTTTGTTCTGAACATGATAAGCTATTACTTCATACTTAAGTTCTCACTATTTCAGGGTCCCACTATTCCGTTGGAAGTTGTCTGGATGCTTCATAAAAACTGCATAGTTTCCTTCAACACATATTTAGCTTGGTAAGGAGTGAATATTGTTCGTGAGAAAAGCAAGTGTCTAGCGTTTATAGCAAAGTTAGTGACATGCGTGCAATACATGTATCAGCTCAATTTGCTTGCAATTCTTTTACAATCAAAAAAAATACATATTAAGTATGCAGTTACATTAAATTATTTATAGACAATATTTATTGAAAGTTCAGCGAAACTTTATGACTCATGAGAAATAATGACCAAGGGTGCATGAATGTTACAGTATAATGTGAATATTACCCTTCAGTAAATGTTCGTCTCCATTATTGTTACTAGTTGTTTGCAGTACTGTGAGACAGTCGATGCAGTCGCTGATGGACTTATAGCACTCTGTTTAAACAAAATGGACATGGAAAAGCAAGAAAATATTTTATCAGGTACACTCAACCTTTTAAAAATAAACACTAGTCTTGAAGTTCAAAGCATGATTTTAAATGGTTCATACCTTTTAATTAGTGTTCAGAATGGATGAAACCTGCTTCTTTCCCTCAACTGCCATTTTTCTTTGCCTCACTAGATCTTTTAGGGCGATTGCTTACATTTTCCTTTCCTGAAAGCAAAATGAATGAAGGATGCAACAGCTCATTTGAAAAGGTAATATTTAATGATTTTAGTCCTAGTGTCACTATTAACAAGTCTGTTCCTAGATGCTCTCAGTTTAGTCTGGCTGACTATAAGTGAATAGAATTGGTTATAAATTTTGAAATTTGTTGAAGTAGAAAACCCCAAATAGAGTTATTAATAAAATTGTTTATGACATAAATTTTTTAACCTTCTCACTGCATTTTTTGTACTGATGTAACACTTACCTGAGAATGACTACAGGTTTCAAGAAATTATACTTTCACTTATGTTTTTATTTCACAGGTTTCACAAGAAATTTTGGACATTGTTGTGGATAAGACTGATTATTCAGTCTGCAAGAAAGTTGAAAACAGTTCTTTAGAACAGAATAGCTCAGATAGGTGCATGTAAACAACTGTTAGTGTAAAGTCTATAGTTACATTGTATATGATTTATCATGTATTTTTGCACTCTTTTCATACTAATTTATTACAGCCATTGATATCTTATTTCATTCTCACAGCACATCGACATGAAATGCACTAAATTGTTCAAAATAGATCTGAAACAGTGATGTGGTCATTCCTTGACTTCTTTACTAGCAAAGTGTAGTGTATTAGCCCAAGGTCCAGAAAACGAGACAAGATTATTGAGAAAAGATCAAGATGGGGGTTTTAATAATCTGCCAATGATTTCTGTTTTTCAGGTTTTGTGTCCTTGAGATTATTAGAAAGCTGAATGATGTCCCTTGCACTACAAAAAAAAAGTTTTTTGCAAGACAGCTCACTAGGTTTTTTTCAATGCAAACAGATGTTGGTAAGTGTTGCAAAGTAGAACAACTTTTTACCATGTTGAGGACTGAATAAACAAGCAATGTAAACAAATAAACACAAAAGGCGTACATGAAACTATTTTAACTAAAATTATGCAGATTCCAAGTTTGTGGCATGGCACAAGGTATTTTAATTGCATGGAGTATTTTAACTATGATACACAACAGTGAGACAACATTTAGACGTGCATGATAATCACTGAACACCCTATAGGCAGAGTGAGAGTTTGCCATTGTTAACCCCAAGTCATTTCAGATGACCCACAGAGATTAGGGTGGGGGGGGGGAGGCACTATCAAAACTGACTATTTGTCATGATCTTATGGCTAATGTTTGGTCTTTCATTTCAATATTGGCAATTTGTTTCTTGTTCATTGCCACCAGCCTATCATTGGATAATTCATGATAAAGTTATATTGACATAACTTAGAAATGGTTGTTAGGTCTTTTTGAAGGTCCTAGGATACTCAATTGTCTGTGGACATAGTAACTGAATGTGAATGTTAGTCTTGACACCAGGATTTTCTGAAGGAAGAAATGATCCTCAACAGGAGACAAACCTAGTACATGTATTATATATTTTTTGTAAGGTGGTTAATCTAATATGATACATTATTGATGGTCATTCTCATAGAAAAGTCAGTGCTACATTTAGCCTTTTGTAACCAAAAGGAATTGAAGTTCTCATCATTGGGTGAAGCAACGAGAAGAGTGTTTGAACAAGTAAGCCTTTAACTTTATTTCACCTGACAACTGCACAAATAGCCCCTTTTACTAATTTGCATCATCATGTTTTCATAAACTTTGCAAAAATGAAATGAGAGTCAAAAGCCTTGAAAATGAGGGCTAGCAAAGGTTTTGATGAACCAAAAAGGCAAGAAAATACTTGACTCAGAGAAACATTGCATCAAAAAAAGAGACTAATAGATGTTAGCATTTGTTTTTTATAGTCATACATTACATAAATGTTTGCTGTTACCATTAGTTTCTTTTAGTCTTTGATCCAATGTCTGTGATGGAGTCACTAAAGAATACTTTCTTTAAGGAAAAGGTATGTGAGTAACTTAACTGTTAGAATCGAGTCAACATTACTTAGCAAAGATGTGTTTTTTCCAATTAACAAATATTTTTCAATGCACTCCATAACAACATAAAATTAATTTTTTCTTTGCCATCCATTTAAGGTTAATGTGGAAGGAATCCTTGCATTTCTGTCAGTGTTTGTGGTCCTTGTGAAGGAGGCTGCAGGCATGCTGGAAGGTGTAATGATGTTTGATTCATTTATTCAAATGCAATAATTGCTACAACGGATCCAATAATTGCTACAACGTAGTGACAAACAGTGGTATCTGTTATTAAAAATTGCTTTGAACTTTTCCTCAAGGTTATGTCTGTGATTTGGTGAATGATGCACTGAATAACAGCAACAGCTCTACACTGAGCATAGCATTCCTGGTGATTAGGCAGGTTACACAGCAAGGAGGTCATGTCTCTCAGCCTTATGTCTCTTGGTTTCAAGTGAGTGTTCAATGTGTGTAATGCAGCTATTTCGTCATAATTATCATAAATGTAGGAGGTAAGTTTCTATAGAAACTGTGGTGCTGTATCGGTGGGAGAGTATAACAGGGTAATTTGGTATTATCAACTGAGTTGATAACACTAAATTACAAAATTATCACAACTATGGGAAGACATTTAATTGTGAAATATGTCTTATGCAGTGGAGTGTATGTTAAGCTCATTCTTTGCAACAGTAATCAAGCTCTAAATCATTATTTCATAAAGGTATCCCATGGATTTAACATGATATTTTATTTACAAATTCTTTTTTTTTCCAAACAAGGTTCTTTGTATGGCACAAGTATTAAGTTTTTTTCTTTAATTTGTCTTGCTAATTTTTTCTTTTCCCATGATTGTAGAATACATTTGGAGATCAAGGAAACCCAAAATTAAACAACAGAAAAACCGTGCAGCTATTTGTGAAGTTCTTGTCTGACCTTGTACCATATGAGCCCCCAGAATATTTAAAGGTAATAGTCAGGAACGTGAGTGGTATTTATTTTGGTGGAGCATTTAATGCAAACTACTGGAAAGGGAAAGGTTGGCATTCCTACATGTAGGTTGAGTACTCCAACTATCATTCTGGTCTCAGAGCTGGCTATTTGGAGCTAACCATTCGTAGAAGGTTTATTAATTAGTTTAGTAAATTGGTTGCAATCATTACTGTCTTATTTTTAAAAGTAGCAAAGAATTACTCAGTCCTCGAGTGGCAGCCTTTGGGTTTCCTAGTTCGTTTTTTCTAAGAGGAGTTTTGAGCAGTTGTTGTATTTTTATGAGCGCATTGTCCATTTGATTTTGGCGGTTGCACTATTTCTGAGACAAAGAAACTCTCCAAGACTCCTTTTGAATTATAATTTGTTCATCTCGCATATTGATAATTTCAGGTTCACGTCATCAAAGCTCCTCAAGTACCGGCCAAGCTGCGTGAACTTGTCACTGATTATGTGTCTTTGGCCAAGACCAGACTCATGGACTTAAAGGTACAGATTGTAGGCAATGACAATTTTGAAACATATTTGCAAAGAATATAAAGGTAATTGAAATGTCAGGTTCTCTGGTATATCTTTTCAGGTTATTGTAAACTGGTTTCTTTTGACAGGAGCCTGTAGAACTGATGGGAATATACGGGAATAGTAAAGAAACATCAGGAACAGATGCGAAAAGTGAACATACCAAGGTTAAAATGATGATAACGACAATGATAATAGTTATGATAATAATGACAATCTTCTTGTGCATTTCTATCACTGCTTGCAGTATGTAGGATTTTTTTTACAAGAATCTTATTCAATAGTGAGGCAACCACCCATCTCTTATAGCGTAGTGTTAAAGTATGTAAAGTATCTATTGGAACGTGGCCATTACTCTGCTTTTTTGACTCCGGTTGGGAGCGTTCGAAATCTCTTCAACTTCCGCGTGAGCCTGAGTCACTGACTAACGACATCGTTTTAACTAAAGCCGTTGTTTAGTCGACTCTACCTGAGTCACGTGACGAGACCAACATCTATAGTGGCTGCAAAGTAAACTACATAAAAAGGCCGCAAAAAAGGGAAATAAAACTTAAGTGCAGAGCTGTTGGGATTATTAACCAGTTTGGGAGAGTGGAAGATTTTAATTGTAATGACTTTACAGAGGGTAAGGTAGTTTTTAAAAGATTAAAACATCATACGTCTTTCTACAGCAACTTGAACAAGCCTCCTCAGATGTTGAAAAAGTTATCGAATCATTTGAGAAGTCTGGGAAAGTCCCGAGCACTGTTATGGAGGCAAGGTAACGTTTTGATTCTGTCTGAAAAAGCTTCTCAACATCGTTTGTGACCTTTGTTTACGGCTCGTGAAACTCGTTACAATTTAAAGGAGACTGCAAAATATTCGCTCTGACGAAGGGCTAACGCTCGAAACGTCAACTTGGAAACTCTTAAATGTGGCCAGTTTACGTTATCAACTCGGTTGATGATACCAAATTACCCTGTTAAACTCTCCCACCGACGCAGCGTCACAGTTTCTTTAGAAACTTGCCTCCTTCATGCAAAATAGTAGTTTCGGTTGATGGAAAATCGCAAAAGAGGCATTAGCCAAGATGGCCAAGGACGAAGAACGAATTGCAAATGACGATCTTGAAAAACTCATATCAAATTTTTTTAGGAGTGCAAACCAGGAAAGTCCAAAAAAATTAAATTTAAGAGAGCATTCTCAAGGAGGTAATGCATGTGCGTACTGCATTAAATCACAAACTATGGTAACTCCCGAACTATCAGGAGAAATCGTTTTTGTCTACTCAGCATTTTTAGGAAACCTTATTTCATTGGAAGATTTTTGCCGGCATTGCTAACTCCAAGAAAGGTTTGTAAAGCATAAATATTTATTTGCAAATGGTAAGAGAAAATAGAGAGACAAACGTGACTAGGTCATGCAGCTTCAAAGCATTAGAGCTGCTTACTTGATGTCTGAAATTCAAATGAAAGCCATCGTCTAGTTGTTAGTCCCTATTAGTTTCTAACATTGTGCTCAAAGCAGCATTTTCTCAGGCATTAAACGTGCCATCAGTAGGCGATTGTACAACTTTTGCGATTTAGTTATCGTTTGAACCAGGAATGACAGCCGAGCATGAATTGTAATTGTTTGGGCTTGGTCAGTCCTGATAGGGACTGTTATCGTTGACAGCGATAGTTGTCTCGACAAGCTGAGTGGAAGTCATCAGCAGAATTAATTTTTTTCTTACTCGTGACAAAAGCTTTGCAAAACTTTCCAGATAGTACTCGCTTTTCAAGCAAATCAGTGTGGCCATTATAAACTGTAAAAAACAACCACGACCCGGACAAGTCTCTGGATGTTATACTAGCGACAAGACGTAGGGCGTTTCGTTTAACTCGGATAGCATCCCTATTCTATGGACGAAAGGTTTATTGTGCAGATTAGCAACAGCTAACCTTTTTTATTTTTTGATAACTCTTAGGTTCCCGAGGAGCCTGATGGAAGAGCTCAATTCATCGAAGTATTAAGCACGTAAGCATTCCTCTTAACACCCCAAAAGCAGAAATGTTTCTTTTCTTCTTTTTTTCTGTTCTCGCAGTTGTTGTTATTGAGATCGTTTGTTTCATTTCAGTAATCTTTAGGCAGATGCCTACAGCTATGAGTGTACAAACATGTAGTAATTACTTGCGCTTTTTTTCTAATTAGAGCCGGTAAAATTCCAAAGAGTATGCTGAGTGCATATCAGTCGGCCTGTGAGAAGATCACCATTGAACAGATTGAAGGTTTGAGGCTCATTAATACATTATTCTGCTTACAACAAGTGTTCTCTGAGGGGGGGAGGGGGTGGTTGAGCCGTTAATTTGTAAGCAAAAGTGCTGTTAATTGTCTCGAAAGTCTCACACTTGTCTTCAAACAGTTTCAGCGATTCAGTAGAATAACCTCACGATTTCTGTATCTTCGCCATTACGATATTATCATCTCCATAAAAATCCATGGTAATCTGTGTAATGGATAGAGAAATGGTGGGATAATTTTTTTAAAGGCAGAACCAATGTTTGTTTCCCTTGAATCGAGGTGTCGCCTGAAAAGGGATGGGCCGGAAGTGAGCTGGGTATCACTGTTCTTTTACCTCTTTGTTGTTCAGATATAATAATTTTCAGGCAATGATTAGGGTGGGAATTATAGTTCCAGGTCGAAATGTTTCAACTATGTCATTCTCCGTGAGATCGTTCTGGACTTATTCATCCTTACTCTATATGTTTACTCTGCTAAGGCCAGTTGTCCTGTAAGCCCAAACATGCTTACCGATAAAGCATCTAAGAAGTGAGACAGAGTCTCAGAGAGTGAAATAAAGTTCCCGAACAGACCCCTGGTTCCTTCCGTTTGCACGCGTGGTGTTCAAGCTAGTCAATCCCTAGTCTCCAAAATCTTTTTTTACTTAGTATCAGTTTTCCCTTTGGTTTGTCTCGTAAGCAGTTGTTTTTGTTCTTTTTAATTTTCCTTTGCATCGCTCGCAACTCTTTCGAGTCAATTTTAACAAGGCCATGTGAGTGGCCAACACCCAATAAATTTTGCAACCTCTTGGTGATTTTTGTACTTTTCTGATTTTATTTGTGTGTGTATGTTTTTTTTAGTGAGTTCTTCAGAAGACGAAGGGACTTTGAGTGGCATGGAAAAACTTGTAAAATCTGCAGAGAAATTTACCAAGCTCGTCACTGAGTCATTGAAAGGAACCGATGTTTCCAGACACTCAGGTGATTCCACTGTACCATAATGTACACGTTTATATCGCGATTTTGTGGGAGCTATATTTATCAAAACTTACATATCATACGATGAGGTTCATGTTTTGAAGTATTCACCTTTAAAGGTTTCTTTTTCTTGACTTTTGAAAGCTATTTTATTCAATCCAGTGGTCTTATGGCACTATTCGCACTTTGTTTGTTTTTGCAGGGAGAATATCATCTCAGTTGTCAATTATCTCTGGAACTATACACTCAATGATAAAGATGAACAAAGAAACTCAGTCACCCGATCAGTTTGTAAAGCTAGATGTCAGCGAAATAGAAGCAACTTACACTGACCCGGTTGGTAAATTGTTATTACAATACAATGATGTTATCAATAATGTAAACGCTTATTTAACCCTGTAACTACCATGAGTGACCAAGACAGAATTTCTCTTTACAATATCAAGTATATAAGTACTTTCAATAAAGAAAGATATAAATTAGGGGATTATTTGTATCTACCTAATACCAAATTCTCTAAACTAACATTGTAAGGATTGTATGCCGGACAAAAAGGAGAACAGAACTACCTATGAAATCTTTGGAAAGAAAGGATTAAGCATGTGAAATAAGTGATTCAGTCAGCGTGCATGAAAAACATAATTTCCACCAGTGCATGGGTCAAAGAGTTGTTTTTTTTATGTCTATGTTTTGCTTTAAAGGTTGTTAATACTTTGCTGGATGCATTTTGTCAAACATGCGATGCTGTAAACAGTCACGCATCGGAATCGTTGGATCTTTTAAAGAGGTAAACCTCAGAATGCCCTTTGAAACTGGGCGAGCGAAGCTCTGTATCACAGAACTTTTCGATTGAGTGTTTACACCTATCCGTGATAGCATTTATTTTTCTTCCCCGTGCTCTGTGATTGGTCCAGACTCGCGCCGACTTCTCGGTCAATCTGATGCAACACCTTAATAATCCGTTTTTTTTTCCCGTGCTCGAGGTGTTTTCTTTAAGCTTTCATTATTGTTTGTCTGTTTTGTTTTGTTTTGTTTTTTTTTTTTTTATAATCGTGTCATTTGTTGGTGTTGGCTGTGGTAATTACTGTGATGTTTGTTCCATAACGTTCATTTGAAAAGCACAATATACGGATTACTTCTTATCCCTGTGACTCTAATTCAAAACCTTCCCCGTTTCCCCATTTCGGTGAACATAAATCACTCGCTCGCAGATTCAAGCGTAGATTTAAGAGAATTAATTGAGGACTGTGAGCCATATAGTGAGACCGGTGTGTGATATAATGCTACTCTAATAACACGCGATACTCTTTTGTGATTTGATGTTCTCGTCGTACCCTTGAAAGTAAATGACACGTTGTCTCTTTTGTATAAACAGGTATTATTGGGCTTCTCAATTTGTCGCAATGTTTTCATCAATAACACCGCTTCACAAAAACTTATATTGTCAGTTATGGAGGAAATGTTGCTACGAGGTTGGTCAATATATACTGCTGGTTATTACACTGTAAATAATTCTGTAAATCCCCAATCATGAAGAGTAGCTAAGCGGTGGCACTTTTGAAGGTTTGACTTCTGTTCGGAATTTCCTGTTTATGTTTAAGGTATGATACAGAAAAAAATCTTTCATTTAAACAGAAAGTGTTGACCATCAAAATTAAACAAAACTGCAACGAAATTTAATTCTTGTTTCTTTTTTTGCATTAGAACTAAGACATCCAAGTAGCATATGGCAGTGAACGACGCAAATGTTACCTAGATTTAAATATTGGCGACTTTACTTATTTGAAATTACTTAGTCTTTGCTTCACTTCTCTCTGTGATTGGTCTATTCTCTACCAATCAAATGCATAATAGAACTGATCGCGTCTTGGTCACCCGCGTTTCCCGCGCTTCACACTTTTGCCTTGTTTTTGCTTTGACTTCCCTTGACTTTCGCGGAAATTTCTCTTTTTCTTTTCTTTGATCGTCAGTTTTGAATAAGTTGGTTTTAGTTTTACGTCATTCATTCGATATGCGCTCCAATAACTTTATTGTCTTCCTGGACATGTATGACCTTCTTTGATAAAAACGTTATTTCCGTGATTTGCATGATGTTCTATCTCAGGGTTCGTCAGTAACGAATGAAGAAACGCGTGGTTTGGCTGTGTTTCTGTGTTATTTGTGTGCAAATCAAAAGACTCTACTTCCAGTTCTTCTCCAAGGAGTTACACATCGTTCAGGAAGGAACGCCTCCGAGATCACAACGGTAAGAAAATGTATATCGCTCTTTCTGCTACAGCCTTAAAACTCTTTGTTATTAGTATTGGCTACTTTATTACGGAAAATCTCTTTCTTACTTGAAATACGTTGTGTGCAGTTTTGTATCAAAACTGTTACTGATTCCTTTCCATTTCCACTGTGTAAAAAATAGTAGAATCGAACATCCGTTTAAAAGGCACCCTAGGGGTTGGAAGGAAAATAAAAGTGACTAATAAATAAAATTTGGAATGGCATTTTGTGTTTTATACGTAGAGGTGCCCCCAAATTTGAGGTGTAGCAAGTATGAAGTTTCGTTATTTTTAACTTTTTTTATGAGTGACGTAAATTTGATTCGTTTTTGTTGTAAAATTGCAAAAAAAGGCCTTCCATAAAAAACCATCCTTTCATCTTTTTTCTTTTGTTCTTTAGATTTGTTCCTTTCTCAATTCGCTTTGTGAGCATATTCCTATCTGTTCAAGGCGCTGGATGTACTTTTATCTGAGGTACAGGGAATATAAGCTTCTTGCTTTGGTTTAAACATGTTATACCAAGTAACAAACTGTCTATGGTACAGTCTAATCGGAGGGTATCCCCGAAAAGGGAAATCTGTCTGTGGAAATCACTATTAGGGTTCGAAGCATGGAGCTGCGTTGCTACCGGCTCGTGAACGCTTTAAAAGCGGTGAGAGGCTAAGCTGCAAGTGGGAAAAACCGTCCCAAACCTCTCGCGGTTTTACCACTCGTTTCCACGGCTCTGACGCTTGGCGCTTCAAGGCACTTAAGAAATCTCAGTTTTAAATCTCAAATCGGGAGAAACACGATTTTTATCATGAACTACTCTTTTTGAAGACGGATGGCAAAACAAAAACGTACCATCTCAAAAATTATGTTGTATTTTATTGAATAGGTTTTCATGCTCTTATGTGCAGCATGCCTTAAAAGTGTTCGCCTCGAATACGGCAGAAATAGACGCCAACACTGGAGGTAGGTTGTTCATTCTCTGATTGAGATTACAAGGGATTTCCTCGCAATCGTTTTGGAAAGAGCAGCAGTTGTCTAAGTTGTTTTTGGTGCGAATGTAAGTTTTTTAAAAAATTGGGCAATAGAGAACAAAAGAGAGAAACAATATAGCATGCGGACGAGGATGTTTAACGATCCGAAAAATTCACGAAATTTAGGCTAAATGTTTTCAAGATGCACGAATCACCTTTTATTTCCAGGAATTGTTAATTCAGGGAAGGGGCAACTTTGTACGAAGGTTTCGAGTCAGGAAAGGTTCCCTTTAATCCTTTTGCTCCTTCGATCTAGATATAAATTTGCAGTACTTCTGAGTGTGAAAGGACTGATTCCCCATCTCCTCTCCCCCTAAAAAATTAGAGATAAAACTAACAAACTTGATAACATTTTGTTAAATTGAGCGACGCTGTCAACTTTGTTTTAAGTATTTTCCTAAAATTTTCATTCTTACTTCATTTTCATAGTTAGGAGGCTCATTTTCTGTTCTCAGCGATAGCTTTCTCTTCATTAATCACTCACTGTTTTATTGTAGAATCTACTGGCTATCTGTCTTCAGTCATGCTGCAAAAGGTAATACAGTTGTTACTCAAGTTATTGAAAACTTAGACCCTTCCGTTTTCAATTGAGGGTCGAAAGTGAACTGAGATTTATTGGTTTTGCCTTCCTTTTGCAAGTAATTGGTTTAGAAATTAACCTATCAGACTGCGACCTGGTCAGCCTTCTTTTCCCACGCTTAAGGCAGCAGTGTATATGTCTGTAAATTGACTTTCCCGTAATACCTGTTCTAATGAAAACGAATTATATCGTGCTTGTTACTAGTTGTGATTACTCTGGTTTTTGTGTCACAACTCTCGATTGAAGAGCTTCTTATTACCTTTCTTACTGTTTTTACGTTGCTTCTGGAATTATTAAGATTTGCGAGGAAACCTCCCCCGATTTTGCAAGGTTATAGAACCCAATGAAGACCTTGACGTCGAAAATTGTTAACTGATGTTAAAAAGTTACCATTAATTAAGTCTCACAAAATGTTTGGAGAATTGTGCCTCTTTTGGTAACCTTAGATCTTCTGTTTGTACCAGATGTTCTACCTTTTTCATCGCTTGAATGTACACGGACAAAGGCTTTTCTTTAAACCAGCACTTGATTCAGGTGAGCTGACTTTACAACTGTGAAATGCAAAACTCACTTATTGCCTTAAACAAAGAACAGTACTTTGTAAAAGCAAAATAACTAAAATTGCCGTAATTATTAACGGTTACTGTAACAAACTTAATTTTCTCAGCCATTTAGAGAATGAATAGTCTACCTGCCCGTAGGTAGCTGTTTTGTGAGTGAGTTTGCAGCGTTTTTATTTTTAAGAAATTTTCTTCATTTGATCATGGTACTTTTTTTTCATTCAGACCTTTTATCTATTGTGAAGAATTTGACCTCTCTACAAAAGTTTCAGGAACTGCGGGAGAAAGGAGGAGAGGTATCCATGCGCATGTAGCAAAATAAACATGTCTTACACACTTCCTCATCGTGTAAATGGAAAATTATTATAAACAGCAAACAAACCAAACGAAAACAAAACTTCTCAATTTTGGACACATTCAAATTGTATTGTCTCTATCGAAAGGTCCAATTGAGTGCTGAACCCTTATAACGATCATTTGGAAATGTGATGCATCCTGGGAAGGACTGACATATCGTCTGTAGGTTGTTCATACAGCTTACGAGCCACTTCGTGTAAAAAGCATTTGACCAGTGGTTACTTACGGGGGGGGGGGGTTACCTGCATTTGATTAGCATGCCAACCAGGGGGAGGAGTAACACTCTCAGTTGCTTCATGCTACAGAGAGTGGAGCCTCCAGTAGTAATGGTCACTGACTGGTAATACTTGACGTATGTGAATTGAAAAGTAATTCGATCTTTATTGGCGTGTCTGGAACGTTTCAGGATTTGGCAACCTAATTTTAGTGAGCTGTATATTGCGATGTTCTTTTTCCCCTCAGTTGTGTTTTTATGAGTGGTGTATATTGGAACTCAGTATCTCTGCCAGAGATGATTTTCTTCCTGAAAGTGACAGGTAATCTGAATTAAGAGTGAAATTTGATGTAATCCTTGTATGACAGCTACTATGAGAGTATAAACATAGATATATTCTTTTGATGCTACTCACTTGTATAAGTAGGTAGTGAGGTTTTGCAAAACTAGTTGTTGCTTTTCTTGTTGCATTCACTAATAATCCATTACTATTATCATACTCTTTTCCTTTTACTAATCTTGCGCATGAAGTGAAAAAGAAAGCGAACAAATATGCGATCCTTCAAATGCCGCTGTGATTTTAAAATTGTCCTTGTTCACGCACAAATACAAAGATGATCTTATCTTGATATGATTTTTTTACTTCTGAAAACGATGTTTCTGTTCAACTTTCCTTCATTAACACATTATGTCTTGTCTATTTTGATTCAGTGAGCTGTATCGAGAGAGGAATGACCTCAAGGACGTACAAGTCAATTCTTTTCAACCTTTTTTTTTCTCGAACTCAGCTGAAACTAGGGCACCAAACTCGCTTATCGATCGTGCTATCTTTTAGTGATATACCTTAAATTTTAAGTTTAACTTAAGGTGATTGCCCTTCTGTTTGGCTCTCTTTCTCATATTTGATAGGCGCATTTACCATCAGTACAGAGTACTGGACCACTTTCTACCCCAGGGATCCCCACAGGGTGGCTGTGACGGCTCTGCAAGGAAAGCGTGTTCCGTTATTTTTCATGCTCTTCTCGACTTTGAACACAGGTGATTCACAGATTTTAATTTAATTTAGAAGTCTGGGAAAAACCAGTAGAGAAGTCTTATCTGTCCTTCAGTAGTGAATTAAAGAGTTAACACAGAAAGCAGAAGGGTCGTATATGACCTTATTTCCAATTGAATTCACTCGAAAAGTGCAGCGCAGCTCCATCTCGTTGATTTAGGTGACCCCTGAGACATGCAATTGTTACTCGTGCACTCTATTACTTATTTTATCATTCTTACAGTTTTACACCGGATGGTGCTGGAATGATAATGGTGACATCTCTTTTAACTTATTAGGTTTACACAACAACCAAATGATGTGGAGGTTAGTCGAAAAGACATGATTCATTTATTACAGGTAATGTAACATTACTTTTCTCTGCTAAATCATACTCTGGCAAGCTTTAATATTCTAGGCGGGACCCAATATCTGTTTTAATCTATATGCGTCCTGTGCTGCAGCCTAATTCTCCACACGCTCAACTCTGCAAAGAATGGGTTGGATTTGATTTCTGACCGGCGAAATTATTTTTTGCTGTATATTCTTGGGTAGGGATCCCAGGTAGTCCAAGTTTATTTTATGAGTACATCATCGGTCAAACAAATACTGTTATTACGCAGCGGTAGAAATGAAATGGTTTATGTGGTGAAAACGGTTGAATTTAGAAGCAAAAATACGATCGGAATCTTTGCTTACTGTAAAAAGATCGCTGACTCTCCTTCATTCGATTGTTTCTTATTCTCCGGTGTCATTCTCAAGTTAATTTATAGTGATTTAGTCGGTTGTGAGTTCTTCTTTAACTCCCAAGATCTAATTGTTAATTCTCTCCACTAACTACCACATATTTCCTTGTAACTTAGTTATATGAATTTGGTCTTAGAAACAAGATAGCAACTTCTAACTGTTAATTTTGAGTTTTCTCATTGCCTGTTTGCTGCTGAGTAATGTATGGATATTTTAGGGAGAAGTTACATGTTAATCACTTCTGGGAGTTAAAGGCTCCATATGAGTGCTATCTGGAAGATTTCCCTCCTCGCACTGGAGAATTTTCCTTACGTGAAATATTAATTTCACTCGCCGTATCGGACACCGGTCATTTAATGTAAAAAGCAAAGCGAGGATGTAGAAATATAAGGATTTACACGCTACGTGTGATTAAGACAAATTTATCATGTTCGTTCCCTGTAGGAACTCGTCCCAATGCTCTCCCAGCACTCAAATGACAACACTTCAGCTCCGTCGGGGAAGAATTGGCGTGGATCTTGGCTGCTCGAACAGTTCAACTCCAGACTGGAAAAGGTAAATATGTATAAGGTTTCACATCACAACCAAGACCTTGAAAGCTGCTCTTAAAACCTCCACACGGTGCATGAAAACATTTTTTAGCTCTTTTCACAGAGTTTTGAAATCGAAGGAGATAACATTAGTTTTGCTTTTATCAGCTGAGTTGATAATGTGAATGGTCCACCATAAAGAGAATTGTTCTTTTGAAACTTACACCCTTTATTTAAATGTTAGTTTACTTGAAACTTTCGTTGTAGCCTCTGCTTTCACCCAAATATTCGTTCTTTTCAGTCCTTGTTAATCTAAGTTTATCTTTTCGTATTTCGTTTGTTTTTCTTTTTAATCTTTCTTGGCAAACTGTTTCTGCAATAAATTTTGAACACCTTTTTTCATTCGACGACGACCTCTCTGAAAAATTGCGTCTCTCTTAACCTGTTTAGATGTTGTATTGACGGCATAGGGTTGAAATCTTTGCTGGTTCTTTGTTTGGTGTGATTTTCCAAGATTACGAAAAGACCTTTGGGTTAACAAAGAGGGGTAATATGTGTTATTTCTCTGACAGATTCAATCAAGTGCTAAGAACCAGAATGGAGGAGCGCAAAATAATGAGCTTCTGAATAGTTCTGTTGTGGTGTCATGTGTGAAGTAAGAACCGCACAACTTTATTGTACTAAGACATTTACTGGGTCTGAGAAATTTTTGAAAGGAATGCCAAATTTAAAATAATCTACGATTGCTTTCGTTTTGCTTCATCGCGCTTGGCCCAGAAAACGTGCGCTTCCTTTTAAACCAGTCAGGTCACAAAAATAAAACCAATAACGTTTAGGTCTCAATTTCAGTTTCTTGGAGTGTCTTACCTTGTTTTGTTCGACCATTGTTATAACATATATCCAAGTTTTGAGACATCCAATCCAAATGCAGTCTATGGCATAACATTAAATGACCTCTTCTTCGTTTGTTTGATTTCAGTCTTGCCATGCATCTTCCTCCGTTTCTTCTGTTCGCTGATCAGATGGATTCCAGTCTTGACACTCAATCAATTACGCACGTGATAAACTTCATCAACGCGTATCTAGTAAGTGTTAGCTTGCAGTGATGGCATACTACTGATAAATGAGCGGTCGTCTTTCCCTAGTTAAACGCCTGCTCTGTTAGAAAATAGATTCAAGTGAAACTTGCTTTATATTTGCTATGGACTAACGGATTTTCTCACTTTTTTCTTCCCCCACTTTCTTAGAGACCTTACATAAGTGACAATTGCTGTCTTCCCTTTGATGTTACACTCTTCATTTTCAAGGTACCTGTGTCAGCCTGTTTTCCTTTATGAATCGATTTGTAGATGATGTATGTAAGAGCTCGTAAAAGTGTTCTCCCCCAAAAAAAAAAAAGCAAAGAAACAACAGCAGCAAAGAAAAAATTTAAATTTCCTTGTAATCGTAAAAACGCGAAGCAGTGTCGAGTGATATATTAATTTGCCTTTTTTTGTCCAAGGCTTGGCTTACTTTCACTAGAAGACCATTCCACGAATCACGGTATGATAAACACTGTTGATTTTGTTTTATTTTATTCCGAAGTACAGTACTGTAGACATCACTTACTAAGTACAATCTTAAAGACTCGTTGACTTTTTGATCAAGAGAGCGGGGAGTGAGGGTGGACTTCTAATCGAAAGTTCCGTCGATGCCGCAGGAAAGTTGTGTTGTGTTCTATGGAGACACACTTTACTCTCTCTGCGCCCCTCTCCGCCCACGAGTAAAATAGGTACCTGTCAACTTTAAGAGGAACCTGGAAAGAAAACTGGGCAGTAACCGGTTATGGACTAGACTCTTATGTAGAAGAGGTGAAAAAACTCTTAGTTTGCTAATGCCATCGAAATCGGGATAAGGCCCAACAGAGTGAATTATCAGTATGTGTACAGCATTTTCTTTGCCTTAACTTTTTTCTACAGAAACCCTCAGCTTCTGTCGAAGTTTATGACGGCTTGTCCCTTGTTCTTTGCTTCTGCTCTGGTGAGTTTCTACAGAACACTGTTTGTAAAATTCCAAGTTCGGCTTTGTCGAGAGAAGCAAATTAAGAACAAAACAACCAGGAAAACTCAGTATTTACCCGCATTGCGTTCGACCGATTACGGAAAGCTTAATCTCCGTTGTCCCAACCTCACGTCAACTGAATTTAACATCCATGATATATCCATTTTTTTCCCTCATTATCTTTTAAAGTTGCAGGTTTGCTTTGATTTCTAATTATAGTAGATTCTCCTTAGTGAGAAAATAGAATAAACTCGCTCAATCGATCAAATTGGCCTGACTTGTTCATTAGTGCGAAAAATTGCATCGTCTCGTGATAAAGTCGTTGCGATTGTATTCTCTGCTTTTAAATCGGCTCGGCTAAATCTGTATTTTTTTTTCTTGTAAGTATTACTGGAAACAGCTCAGACCTTTGGCCATAACCCAAGTTGATGTTACTACATATGGGTCACTAAACCAGGCTGAGTTACTCTTAAACTGGAAAAACAGGTTTGTTCATAGTATCTAGGGTTTATTTGAGTGCACCCTTACTAACAATGTAAAAGTATTACGATGTTTAAATTCAGTGCCCTTAGGGAATGTGTTAGATACTGAACTCAAGCATAAGCAAAATTACTTTGCCAGGCGAATAAAACATATAATTCTCAGGCTGATGAAAAAAGAGAGATGTTAACCATTTATAACGAGTGTGGGGCTGAGAAAAACAGGTTTGACGCCACACTGCCCTCCTTCCCTCAGGGAATTTGAACTTCAGACTATTTGATTCCTCGGGTGATGCTGTATCAATCACCTTCAAAGAACTTGTTGGCCATATTCTAAGCTCATATGTGACACGCGATCTGTATGCTGTTACATCAATCGTCGATTACTGCATAAGCACTGAAATGTTTTCAATCAAGACCAGTCCATCAAAACAGAGATTCCCGTGTTACAAAGTTGGTTTTTGTGCTTATGTTCAGTTTCCATTATTCTTGCGCAGAGTTGAAACCTCCCAACCTGTTTCCTTGGAAGATCTGGATCATGTGGACGTGAATTTGGTGGCATCGTTTATCGCTGTTAATCTTTATACTCTGAACAGGTTGCTCAATCTTGTCTAACGTTTGAACCAATATGCTCGGCAGCTTGTAAACGGCTTTTTCAGACTGTTTCTGTATCTTTTGTTTTAGTCAAGTGATGAAGATATTCCTTCAAGAAAGTAAACGTCCTACAGAGTTTATGCGGAAGGTGAGCGCTTTAAATGGTTAATTTCACAATTTCAAGAACATTCTAACGATATGCTTTAAATTCATCCAAACAATGTTCTTATTGACATTTTTCAAAGTGACACACATTTACCGAATAACGTTTATTTTACTTTCACGAAATTTTGTAGGTCGCTGTGTGTTTATTTGACTGCATCATGACAGAATTTTCACGGATGATTCTTCATGGCGATGAGGTTCGTAGTTAACTGATAGATTCTTTTTTTCTTTTTGTCATAACACCCCGTTTTTTTTTCTAGAATTTTAAATAGGAAATTTATGCATCATATTTAGATCTTAGACATTAAGGTCTGTGTTCGGAGACTATCCCTGATGACATTGATACAGTTTCCTACAAAGGTTATTTAAAGGATCAACGTCTTAAAACTTTCGATATAGTTGGAAGACGCCTGAGATTAAAAGAAAGTGTTCCAGAGCAAATATTGATGCGATGGTTAATGAATCGCATTTCTTAGAGCCAATCAGATAATTAAGATCATCATTGATTTCAAAATGGACGTAATAAAGTACGACAGCGACTCAGAAGAAATAAACACGCTTACTGGGAATATCTGGTATAGAAAACATGCATAGCGTGGTGGGGCAGTCAGTTGAAGTTATTTTCTTACATGTATTGTAAATGTAAATTTAATGATATGCATGTTATTTTTATGGCCTAATTTTAACAGATTTGTAAGAACGAAGCTCTGAGGGACTCTGCTTGGGTAAGTTTCCATCATGTAGAAGTGTTAAAAAAACCAAATTACGCTCAGTTATAGTAAATAGCAATTTGTCAGCTGGATCATGGCTTATGTGCCCCTCGTACAACTAAGGCTAGAATCAAGGACTACCGGAAAAAATCCTGAAAGCTTGGGGCTCAATTTTTTGTGGGAAACTCAGAATTCTCTCTTTCATCTTTCCTTAATGTCTAAATTCTATGCACAATTTCTTCTAGTTTTTAAAACAGCGAATTTTATTTTATTGTAGAAACTATTCACTTCTTTCCCAAAGACGCTATTCGTGTTCAGAATCGGTAAGTCGGAATTACCAATTTAGAGACAAAAGTGAGGTTAATGAGCTTAAATACTTAATAATTAAATACCGAACCGACCGCTCTAAGAATTCAGAATTTTTGCTGGATTTTAACCTGTGACTTCACCATTCGGTGCGATGTTATAACCCTTTCACTCCTAAGATCAAATTCTCCACACTATTTGCTATAGTTGTCCTGTAATTTTGATCTGAGAATTTGGTGATAAATCAAACAACATCCTTTAGTTAACATTTTTCTTACCTCTTCTTACCTTCTTGCTAGATATGTGTTGATTATGTCAGGAGAAATGCAGGTTTCGTTCACTTTTAGGGATGAAAGGATTAGAAACTAAACTGAAGTTATTAGCAACGGAAGAAGGGCATTACAGACTCGTATGTTGCTGTGTGAAGGAGATAAAAAGAAATTATGACTGCGAAAGGGTTTATGTACACTGTAGAAATTGAATGGAATGATCAAAAATTGATCCCAGCAGTGCGTTTAAAGATTTCTCTTCGCAGTTGCCTAAATTGCGAATCATCACTTCGAGAAAGGTTCATGATTAACCCCAGTTGTGAACAATTAGGGATTATTATCCAAAATACGCTTTCTTACATAACGGTATCCTTTTTGTTTCTTTTATCGTAGATGAAAGTGGCGAATTCAGAGAAGTACTCCTTTCTCTAAGGTATGCAACCCATTGTCTTAAAGAGATCGTGAACCTTTTTTATGAATTGGCTTACCATTTATATCTCTTAATGTTTGTACAGATCGCTGGTTCTCAACGAGCAGCTGATTAGGCTTTACCCTGCTGTATTTTTCAGGTCTGTGCTATGTTGTTTAACGTAATAACAGACTTTATATGAACTGGAATTATAGAAAGAGTGAGAAGAGTCCAAATCGGTGTGGAATCATATAATATCGAAATGAAAATTGTCAATCGCGACAGTGCATGATTGCCGGCATGATCGGGCAAAATGAATGAAATTGTTAAGTCCGTAGACTGTGGTTGCTTGTGGGGTGACAAAGTCCTTCTCCTTCTCCTTCTCAATACATTGGTAATCTTTTTAATTGCATAGTTTTTGGAGACCTCTTATGCTTCATTTTGTGGCTTTATTTTACAGTTTTTTTGCAAACTTTCCCAATGAGGCATTACAGGAGGTATTGTGCACGTATTGTTCTGTTGTATACTTCTATCGTTTCAATGTTATCTAATGAGTGTGCGCCGCAGCATTCCCAAACTCCTTTTTACACGTCTAACAGTGGAAATTCCTCAAGCCTGCCATTTTCGTTTTTTCACTGAAGAGAAGCCTGGACGAAATTGGCTTTTTCCCCCGCTAATCAGTGAAGCTCTGTTGCTCACTTTACTTTCATTACTGATTCTTTTACCTGGTTACCGTAAATTACTTAATGTAAGTTATGCATGCTATTCCTGTGAATTAAGTTCCTCTATCGAACAACATCACCCAGCGGAAAATTTCCTTATTTACGATTTGATTGCTTGACAATGCGTTGTAATTTTGAGGTAAATCTGTATACTTTGTACTTATTACTCCTGGGAGTGAAATGGAATGGGTTAACCAGAGTTGTAGGAATTGTTGTCAACGTTCTTATCAAGGGAAACTAGTCACCCTTGGATCATTCTGATCCACTTACCTGCATGGTAAAAATAAAAACAAAAATTTGAAAATGATATTCTTCAAGGATGCATAGTATTTCTAAACAACTTTATTATCATATGTGTGCAGGCAACAAAGATCAGCGGTTTTTTGACAGTCACGCTGTGTATGTACAACTCGTTTGTCTTTCTTCGGAAAGAGTGTCTGAACGGCGTGGTAAATATGGCTGCTGACTTTTCGGTGAGTGAGGCCACTTTTCTGGACTCAGTCACTGATATGAAGGAAATTACGACGTAGAGGTCATCTGAATATTCCATCGGGTATTTATTATTGGTTCCTGCTTTTAGTTCGAAATACACTTAGAGTTGACTTGCTGTCGGTGCCACAGATTTTTTAAGAAAAATGTGTAGCTACCTGTAAGACTTAGGGGAGACCGCCGATATTTCTCTCATCATTCGTTCATTTAACAAAGATATTGGAATAAATAATGTAAAAAAAGGAAAAACCTGTTGATGAGAGTCGTGCCGTTTCTCGGGTAAATACGGTACTCTAGGCTTGCTGTTATAAATTTCATTTGCGAAAAGACGTTTTAGTTAACGTTGATATCTTTCATTTGTCTGTTTGTCCAGCCTCTTCACTTGGATTTCTGCCGCCAAGTTACTAACTTTGTCCGTGACTGTGTACTATCTTCACCAGTGGATCAGTTGAGAAGCTTATCAAAGGTTAAGTTGTTAATAAATAAAGATGAGTAAAGAATTTGTACGTTAAAAGAAGTAAGGAATGTATGACTGATTGCCGTGTCTCTCTTCGGATCCAAAACACATGCATATGATATCATAATTTGGTAGACTTAGCGGGGGAGGATGGGCTTTTGCCTTCGGGTTTGGTTTTGAGCGCGTGCCTCCAGGTGAGAATTTTTTAGGTTTATCATCAACTTTTTCCTGGATGTGAGGAGGTTAGTTATAATGGCAAACATTTAAAGAGTATCCTTCCTATTATTGCTGTTGTTTCTGATATTCTTGGAGTTTTGTATGTTTTGGGCTGCTTGATGTAAATTAAGGCTAATTTTTCTCGTCGTTTGCTTCTGTAGGACGTCATTTCTTCGTGTACCGCAGAGTTACGACAATTTTTGAAAAGTCAGCTGGTGAAACGACAGGGAAGATAGCAAGAAATATACTACAATGGAGAAATTTCTGTAAATTATGAACTGGATAGCGCATGGTATGCGGCTATGTCATTAAAAATATGAATAAAAAAGGAAAAAGTTTAAAATGTTTGATGGATGAATTACTCGTTAAAAGTGGTGAGGGACAACAAATAAAGGAAGCAAAGAGGCGCGGAATTGTAAACTTACATTCGAATGATTAGGTTCTAGAAATTACTTTTATGCACTAGGCTCTTTTTAACCATTGCAAAATTACATTCTAGTATATTAGTCACCCATAGATCAAGCACCCTCAGACGAGCGCTATTCCTCAACACTACAAAGCGGACATGCAATGGGGCTGACTGTTCCATCTCCGATAGTGCCCTTAATAAAACCCCGTCTACCAACTGAAAATGGAATTAACATTTTATCGGAAGCTCTATACATTTTTTTTTCCTCTGCACGATCGCGTTGGAGTACATCTCAATAAAGATAATTCTTCCTGAAAGGAAAACACCTCTACAAACCGAAACAAAAGCAAACGGCATTAATTCAGTACTGTTCTGTAGCTATAGGACAGTATTTAATTCTAAGCCCACTCGCAGCATTTTAAACGAGAAAGTACAAACTTTATACAGTACCTTTAACTCCTAAGAGAAACGCAGCGAGCTTGCAGCCTTTTTGCTTTCACGACTGTTGTAGTAGATCTGGGAAGGCAATTTATTCTGTGACACTCGCAAGTAAGATAATGCCATTCTTTTTATTCTTACACGTATTTGTTTTTCATTCATCTGTTCCTTCTCCAACGACAACAAAACATCCTAGCATCTTGAATTAAACTTTAATCAAGGATTATCGGTTTGGATGTAAGGTTTGAAAATTATTGAACATTACTTCAGGTATATCATCGGACATTCCTCAATTTGAACTGGAACATATCTGATCACTGGACGCAGTTAAACTAATCACGTGCGAGGAACAATATTTGATGGATGATTACCTGGATTGAGCGACCAATCAGAGTACTAAAATTAAAAAAAAAAACCCAACCCACAAGGATATATGCATGTTTACAATTCAAAAACCCTGTGTGTAGTGCGAAGACCCTCGAAAAAGACTTTCGTTTGTTAAATTGAATACTGGCAATGGTTCAAAATGATTTCGTTCAAGTTGATTTGACTCTATGTACGAGCCCGCGGTTTTCAGACCTGTGAAAAATATGTAGTTCAATACGCCATGCGCGTGTTTTGTTAAGCACCAGTCCCAAATGAGTCGTTACTGTGGTGATGGTTGATTCTAAGAGACATAGTAGTGAACTTTTTGACTTTTCGAAGTCTTTGATAAACTTTTAATTGAACTTAGTAATTTGTGACTCCTTAGAAGATGCCTGTGAAAAAGAAAAGTGGAAAATCTAAGTATGCTCGGAAAGATTTCGTTCGATTTTAGATTAACACAGTCCAAGTTACTCAAAAGTAAGTCAACTTAAATGCTTGCAGTCTTATTGTTTATTGGAATTTGTTTCGCTTGTAGATCTGGGGGAAAAAAGAAAGGAGCGAAGAAGGTCAAGAAGTCCAAGGAAGAGCTAGCTAAGGTATTAAATCCGTTAAAAAGAGAGAACAAAACAGAATTAAAATCTGTTCTTGTCTTTAAATTTAGCAATATATAGAGAACTCTTGGCCCATCGATCATTGTCTTCGATGGAATACGAAAACCTCCTAGTTAAATTGAGATTGTTACTTTCAAAGTCAGGTTTTTGTCGCGTGCGAAAAAACATTCCTGGATAGAAACGATTCATAACATTGAGGTCGAGCAGTCATGAAAGAAAAGAGGCATAATTTGATTTCTTGTTCAAATTGACTCAAATTCAGCAAATTAATCATCACAACCCTAACGTGTTTTATTATATAAGCCAGGCTTGCCCTGTTGATATAATAAACATAATAAAAGATTTACATGTGATATGTTTCTTATTTAGATTTTGTTTATGTTTTTGTTTGTACATGTTTAACATGTTTTTACATATAAGCATGTTAACATATTTTTTTGCCTTCCTAGCACCAAAACGATCTCTAATTTACTATTTAAGGGAACCTGACCTTAGCACCAAAGACATGACACCATTAAAATTACTTTTAGTAAGTGAATAGAAGGGATAGCTCTGTTTAGAACTGTTGGTGATGATATTATGGTTGATCTTTGGAAAACCTGACTAGTTGAATTGAAGAGTAGTATTGAATCCATTGTGTTTTCATCGACTTATTAAAGTTGATCTAACGAATCTTTGAGAGCTTGATGAACTCATGTTGGGCAGGGAGTAACGTTATTACAAGAGGAGTCAGTTGGTTTTAGAAAACCAGGTTTTATTTCCAACTCTCAAGCTACTGTACTATTAAACTCACTCTTTACTATGACTTAAGGTTTAGACTAGTCTTTGTCACACACAACAGGCCTTCACAGATCTACCCTGTCAAAGACATTACACTATAGGATGAACCCTTTTACAGTTATTGAAACTTTAACAATTTGATTTCTTTATCAGGAAAAACTTGAGAAAGCTGCAGCAGCCTTTGAGGCAGCAGATGATCTTCATTCTGCATTTGTAGCTCGTATGGACAAATGGATGACTGATAACTATGCACGAGCTATTGATCTCTTTCGGCGATTTGATGTGGATGGTGATGGTAGCTTGTCGTATGAAGAATTCTATGCTGGAATGCGAGATTTAAATGCACCAGCAAATAACTTAGAGCTTTACATTCTTGCAAAGAAGTTAGACAGGGATGCCAATGGCTTGCTAGACTATCTTGAGTTTTCCAAAGGTTTAAAATATTACAAGAAAGAGGAATGTGTTCAAGATGATGGTTTGCCTGTTCTGAAATTTGAAAGAGAGGAATTGGAACAATGCCCCTGTTGTAAACTTGGATTATGGAAACCTTCAAAGGAAAAGTTTCCTAGGTAGAGCTGACAATTTGTATTCAATAATGTCTGTCGTAGTCAAGGATAATGTGACCTGATAGATAGCTCTCTGCACTCCAAACTGAAAGGTCTTATGGTTCAACACCTGACTATGGTCACTGTTGAGCTCTTGAGCAAGACACTTCACTATTAACAATTCTTTTCTTTCCCAAAAGTAGAGATGGTACCAGTTGGGGGAACATGACAAAGTGCAGGGGGAAGGGGGGTGGGGAAGAGAGTCTTTTTCATGCTATGGAAACTGGAATAAGATTGAGCAGCCAAAATTCCCGTCTTAACCTTTTACTTGACTATTGCCTGTCAATTATTCCAGTTACAAGTTATTAGAAATATGAATGAAAGGGAGGTTATCACTGAAAATTTAAAGAAATTACCGATAGGCAAATCTGTAAATTTGCTACATTTTGTTTCTATGTTCATAATCACTGAACTATACACACAATCACTCTGAAAATTATTTCCCCAAAATGGCACACAGTTGCTAATGAGGAATATCAATTTATAGTTTATAGCCACTGGAATGTGATTATTTTCAACAATTATTGACATCCTTGACATAGAGCACACTTGAAGTTTGGATTACATTTCAACATATTTATACATCTTATTTCTAGTTTTTACCTTCATTTTAAGCATGACAGGTTAAAAGAAATTTTCTTACTGGTAGTAGCAGTCATGTTGAATTTTCAAGAATTCCAAGCAATTTAAAATGATAATGAGAGGTACTACAGATGGTAAATGTTACTGTCTGAAAAGGGGAACACTGTATTCAGAATATTGGTTTGTGAATTAACTGGTGATTTTTTTGCGACAGGTTTATAAGCATGGAACTTCAACTCCTGACATTTGCCAACTTGCCACAGATGAAATCATATCCTGGACATTTCCAGATATTTGTCCATGCTCACATACCAGTTTATTCTGTGGAATCAATAATCAATGAACGATTTGGAGGAACAACTAGGAAGGTTGTAATATACTGCACCTCAAAAGAAGGCAAACGAATACAGTTAGATCGTCATAAGACTCTTGAAGAGTGTGGCTTCACTGGTGGGCCAAGACCAGAACCACAGCTTGTGGAATTATTTTACGATTTTGATGTAGAGTTTAATGACTGCCCAATTCTTATGAGTGATCATTATTTTACATAATAATTTGCAAGAAATTGGTAAGCTTCTGATTACAGTGGATCTAGCTCAAAATGTTCTATAGTCTGTGTAGAATCTTTTTTGTTACTTCCATGCAAAACTTGAATCTTAGTAAATGTTGATTTAAGCTTGTGTGATGATTGCAATTAAGCCATGAAATAATTTTGTAAAAATAGTTTTATTTGTTAAGTTATGTGTATATATCTATATTATCTATATTTAAAGACCATTAAATATTTTACTTCCTTTTCATCTACATCACCACTAGCAAGCTGTTTAAGGCTTTTTGAGTTTTGAAGCCTTTGAACTGATTTACTGTTGAACAGTGTACATAGGTTTTCAACTTTTGTGTCACTAAATCTTATTTTGTATAGATTAAGATGCCATAGGTTGAACAAAATAAAATATCGTTTTTACAGAGATTAAAAGTGATTGTAGAGTCATTTACAGACAAAATTTTGAAATAAACGATGTTTGATTGCATTATCATTTTGTGCCATTCTATCAATGCTTTGTCTTCATGGTAGGCATTCTTTTGGAATGTCACGCCACACTGATATCTCAAAGAATGGCTACAGGCAGGCAGTTGATGCCAACTCAGTGAGAAACTTGAAATATTCTTAGGATGGGGTCGATGGTGGAGTGAGAGGGTCTCAATTAATAACTTTTACATTAATATTTTGAGATATTGTACAATAACATTCCAGAGAATAGTACCAACTTTCAATGTGAGTGATATGTCTTCTGATTGTCTAATCTTTGCATCAGCTTTTCAGCATAAGACTTTCCCTGAGTTCCAAGACTATTCCTTTTTGTTCTCTTCTTAAAATTTTTAGCTCATTACCGATGTTGTCTTGCAAAGAGAGTCTTGAACCCATTTTCAAGTTCCAGGTTATTTCTCGAACAGCATTACTATATTTTGTACGCAATGCATGCCTGTTTAGTAGGTGACGGAGGGACTGCTGGGAACGAAGTAGATTTTATTCGTTCGTCAATATCCAACATGGCGTACGTCCCATCTCATCTGGTGAAGGGCATCACACATCAACAGCGTGTGATGCGCTTGTACAGAAACAGTTTAAGGCATTTGCTAGATTGGGTCATAGACAGACAGACATGGAGGCAAGAGGCAGTTAAATTGAGAGAGAGATTCGATGCTCACAAACACGAGAAAGATAGGAGGGTGATTCACATGATTCTGGGGGCGGCCGAACGTGAATTTGAGAAACATAAACATCCATTCCCTTATGTTCGTAAGTACAGTGACTTTTACCTTTCTGTCCTTAAGTGGATTATATCTGTGGAAAGTTTTTCATCAAACTATATAGAAAATTTAAGTTTTGAACTCTGAAGCTTGTTCAAAGTTGATCAAAGTTTGTTGATAATATTGAGTTATCCCTTATAGACCCGGACAGCCCTGATGGCAGCAAGTGGGAAAGAAACATACCGCCTCCTCCTCATGTAAGTGTTCTGTAAGATTTGTTCTTTGGAATGTAGAGGATAACTATTTCATAAAATCTTTTGATGTTCTTGTAATACACGGAGAGACACTTGATGACCTTCACTGACCAAGCTTAAGTTTTGCATGTTTAAAGGACCTTACAAGTATTACGTACCATTTGATGAACTCTTCGTTCTTAGACAACAGAGGTGTTAACCTCTTGGTTAAATGCCAAAACACTGTACTGGTTTTTTTTTCTTTTAAACTAGCCAGTTTACTGCAAATTATTTATGACAGATTCTTCCCACTCTCATTACACGAGATTTGAGTTACCTGCCCTAAACCAAAATTAACTTTGCTCTCCAGAAACCATCTAACCTTTGCACTCTTCAGTCTGTTTTCTGCTAAATAAATAAATGTATTTTGTATATGACCCAAATTCCCTTGATTCCAAACTCATCATCATACTTGTAAATTGCAACACATGGAAAAAGGGGAAAACTTTGAACTGCGGATAAAGACTGTCTTTGCAGAGGAAAGTCAAGGATAATTTGACTGTAATATGAATTTGAAATACCGAGGAAACTAGTAGTTTGACACCTTAAAAGTGGTAATGCAGAATCTGTTTTTCTCAGCCCTGGCATTGTGAAGCAAAAATTTGGTTTTTGACGAAAAAAAAAAAAGAACAAAGAAGATAGGTGTCAGTAACGTTTGAAGGCAGAAGAATGGTTGAAATCAGCAAAAGTTTTAAGACACAGATGACAAAAGATACAATAGTTTGGTTAGATTATTAACAGTAGTGTGACTCTTGCAATATTTTTCTATTAACATGTAGATGCTTCATATGCTTCCCTGGGAAGAAGAGTGGTACAAAGAGATGACTGAATGGGCAAATGAGAAAGTATAGATGGAAATACTTTTCTGTAAAAAGCTGCTTTTCATTTGCAAAATGTACTGGAGTATGTTCAGTTCATTATCATATTTGAGTCCTTTCATCCTTTTTTCACAACACCATGATGTCAATTGAAAGCCATTTTTTCCAGCAAGGGATGATGTTAAATGAATAAAAGCAGTGTAAATTTTTATGTGAAGATTGTTGAGGCTCTCATTAAAGGATTTTTTTCTTTAACTTTGGAGATATGTAAAAAATGGTGTTTTTTTTGGCCTAAGTAGATGAAGTTATCAAGGGACCATGTGAAAAGTTTAGTGAGAGCCCACATATTTAAAGTGAAATTTAAAAAAAACCACTTGTTCCTTGTGTGGAAGGAGGTTAAGCACAATAAGCAATAACTGTTGAACATGATATCATGAATTATCAAAACCAATGTCTGAATTATCTGCCAAAATGGAACGGTAAGGCAGGGAACACAGACACCAGGTTTGATAAATTATATCCAGTGGAAAAACCAAATTTATGAATTGTTTTATTATCTATTTTTTTTTAACAATCTATAATAGAGGACACTTTTCTCTGAGTTTGAAAAATATAAGAACTCTTCATGAATGAGGGGCTTGGAAACTAGGCAGACTTTTATAGTAAATCTAATGTAATGATGAGAATTATCATGAAGATATTTTTGCTATATAACCAGAAAATTCCTAAATTTGACAAAACAAAGTGTAAATTTCTGATATGGTGCATGAGAAAGCAAGTTTTAACAGAGTAATATACCTGGATAATTGACATCTTAAGAAGTCTAATGACCAGCCTTGTGTGCCAATTATTCTACTGGTTACTGGAAATGAAGGGCTGGTCCAGAGTAAATCTCACTCAGACCCACCACCAACCATTTGTGATTGAAAATCTTCTTTCCCGACACATACATGTTAACTCCTGTTTGCAGTCAGATTATGTGCTCGGTTGCCAACGGACACTGATTAATCTGATTAACTTGAACGTCATTTGGGATTTCAATAGTTTTCACGGTGTGCGAATTGTCTAGACAACTTGCACTACCATCTCCCTGATCACGCGCGTTTTCCCGCGCTTTGACGTTAGTTGCGTCTTTTTATTTCTTCTCTCCTGTCTGTGACGACAAACGCCATCCAGGCTTTTAAAACGATAAATGAAAAAAGGGGTACGTTTTTAAAGAAATTGTGGGGCTGCATTCTCTCTGACGAAGGGCGAATCTAACGCTCTGCACGTCAGCCTCAAAAATTACGGTGGTAAATTTACATCATCAGCTCCGTTAATAAAACCAAATGATACCTCAAAACGATAGTCACCATCACCACCAACAGTCCTTTTCAGACATAAAGACTGACCAGTAAGGCAAGAGGGCTGAAATACTTGCATTAAAGAGACAAAGTACACTTAATGTATGGTCCCGAGAGAAAATAAAACTAGCTTGTTTCCCGAGGGACCATACATTAAGCGCTTTGTTATATATTTAGACTACGCCTTAAATAATCATAGGACAAAAACGTGCTGTTGTATTCGGTGTGCGGGCAACAACTGCGCAACTGTATCCCGGTCGAGTTTTGAATTTGAATTTGATTAGGGCACGTGACTAAGAATCAACTAATCACAGTGCGTGTTTTGTTGAGTGAAAGTCTAGGTATGTAACAAAAAGTAATTATGACAGTGGGTCTTTGTTCCCAACATAGAGAAAGGACAAATGAAAGCCATCAAGTCAGTAGCTATTGTCAGTTGGAATCATTTAATTCTTCTTAGGCGAGAAGTGAACTACAAAAATATTTTGGCTTATTTCGATTGTATCGAATCAGAAGCTTAAGACCTGGAAAGGGTTGGAAGCTTCTGGTCGAATTCAGAGAGGGCCAAACACGCGCAGAATAATCAGTTGATTAATCTGTGTCGTAAATATGACGTCATAATACACGCTTGCGCACGGCTTAGGAAAATTTCTGAGGTCGGTGTTGTAGTTCATGAGCACGAATTAGCAATGGCTGAAAAATTAGATGCCGTTTCACTGAATAATGTAAACTGGCTCCTAATAAGGCGTTGTCCACAGGTGCCTGTTAGGTATCAAACCATCCCTAGTCTCGTTACACAAAATGCGAAACTTCCACCACGATTATTTCCGTATAATCTACCGATTGGACCGCGCCGACCTTTCTCGGTGATAAGTAGGCCACCTGCACTTGGAATCGGAAACATCAGGGGATTAGAAGAGAACAAAAAGAATGAATTATCTACAGAGGAGTCAAGTGGGACGTTTCAGCCTATAGAGATAGAGAGCAAAAGCGAGAAGGAGCTCCAGGTTTTACGTGAAACGGTGAGTTGAGGTTTGAGAGTCTCGATGAGAACTGTAATTCAATCAAGGAAAGGCGAGGGAGAAGAGGGGCAAGCTAATATTCAATGGCAGGGGTCAAAACGAATGGTTTGAGAAGCCCCTTTATTGTAGGGAACTTTCATGGCAGCTAGCCACTTCTTACTATGAGCATCCCGGCTTTATGAATTGTCATAAATCGCAGAGTAGTACCAATACTCTGGTCACTTACTGGTGGGTAAGTAAGTAAAAATTTATTTATACAGGGTAGCCCATTCGGCTCCCAGGCAGGTCTCCATAGGGGACCCTGTATCTTAAAAAAATTAATTTACATTAAGAATTTTCATAAACTATTATATTCAAAGAGCCTAATGAAAATACAATAATAGAATTTAAGAACTATGTTAAGAGCCTAAAAAATACAACGCAAAATCACTTTTAAAGCCTAAAATATAATTAAGAACCAAAGTCATGATAAAAAGAAATGTCTTGCTCGGCGGCAGATTGTCTGAATCTTTTCACTCTTCACAATTTTATAAAGATTTTGTTAAAAATTTTGCACCAGAGAAAAGAAAGGTCCTTTTCCCAAAATTCTGGCAAACGTTTGGTAGGGATAGCCTCATACTTTGCCTTATGAAATTATTGTAAATGTTCGAAATTCTTATAAAACATAATAAAAAATAACTAGGGACTAATGAGTGAAGACAGAGAAAAACGAGTTTAGCCAGTGCAGCTGCTCTATTGGTGCTCTATTAGGGCGGAAACGTGTCAGAAGTCGACAGTTGCAAGATCATCAGGCACCTTTCCCGAAACTTATTAGAAATGATTTAGTGGAACTGTAAGCGTTCTTTAAAGCTCACGACAGACCCGTTTTCTTCCCAAAAGCTGCAAATCATCTTCCACATGATCGGGTTTTTAAAGGACTTTAAAGAGAAACTCTCGCTGACGAGGTCTAACAGTTATCGTTCGTTTAATTGTTCATCTTGCTTTTCACAAGAGTTCCGACAGAGCCTTCGTTGGAGACGAGGAACTTCCAGCGCGTAAAAACGAAGCAGTCACTTTGCCTGAACACGAGAAAAATGCAGATCTGGTGAGATATCGAGCTGTTAGATACGAGCCTAGGCCCGAAATATGGCAAAAGGTTGCGTGTGTCTGGGACCAAGTCCAAACAAGACCCAATCAGTTTCATCAATACGAGTCCGACAGCTTATTTCCAGCCATATCAGCGTCAACTGTTAGGTACGGAAACAGCAGGTTGTGTAAATGAGAGGAATTAATGGTCTAGAGAGGTGTAAGAGAAGGAGAACTGAAGAGTGGCCTTTATCTATAAATATCCAAACCATAATAATCACAACGATAAATCAAAAGAAAAAAGACTGAAAAGGAGCCAAGAACTCAGAATAAGATCAAGCAGACTGCTCAGGAAATTGGAAAGCACTTGATTTTGGTTTCTTGATTAATTGGTTAAGAAAGTTTTCCATACCCTTAAAGTGTGGTCGCCGAACGAAGTAAAGCAAAACCATTTTCAGCTCCTAATTAACAACGAAAAAGAGTCAATCAAAAATTGTCCGCAAGACCAGAGTTGGAGGCATGTTTTTATGCCTGAAGAAATAAATCCGAAATTCTTTAGATTCTTCATGAGAGTCTTGGTGTCGAGAAAAATGAACAGTCATCTTTCCCCAACCACGACTGAGCTCAAAAACTTTGAACCTTACCATGAAGTTTTGATATTCTCTCCTAGATCAGAAGAGAGGGAGAAAGAACAAATCAAGGCAGTTCAACCAGCAGAACAAACGGTAGGAATGCCAAAATTACCGGAAGGAGGAGAAGAAAGAAATATAAAATTGTAAGTTGACTGTGAAAAATAACTTGATCCAATTTTTGTTTTGATGCAAAAGTGAGAAGTCCGTGAGCTAATTGCAGAAACGTGAGAGGATTGAGAATGAATTGCTGCGCGTGGTGCGTTCTTTGGTCCCTTGAGTAGCTACTCATAAGTAACTTCTTAAAAAAGATGATGGCAAAATGCGAATTTCTTGACGATTCTACATAATTCATAAGTTTTCTATGGGAGAAAAATGAATATTTTTCTGTTGATATACCGCTTTCCGAAGAAGATATTCCGGGTTCAAAACTCCCTGAAGATGAACTGGAAGAATGTAATAAAAAAGCCAACTTTAAAGATAACTTTTGTGTCGAGGAGCGAAGACAACTGGGAGGAGGGGAGTCTTGGTACAAAGGTCAGTGAGGAGCTTCACTGAGTTAGAGATAAATATTTGATTCAAAACCTGCAAAATATACTTGACTCGATGAAATCTTTTGTTCCAATCAGACAAGTTCGTGAGTTCGCTTTGAAGACATTGTGGTCTTTCTCTCGTTTACTCATTCTTGCAAATAAAATGGCGGTATGTTCTACAACTTCTGCCGGCTCAACGTCTTCTGACCATGCTTTATACTTTAAAAGATTCCACCAGTGGTGAAACTCACCTATGAAAACTTTAAGATCCAGGTGAAGGCTTGAGACGAAAAAGAAAACAAAGCTTAGAATCCTTGAGGAAATAACATCGGTGCTATTTGGCGGTACATGTTTTAAAAGTGTGATGCTAACAACCACCTATCAACTGTTAAACTTCTTGTGAAAAAGCTTCAACCACGCGTGGCAATTCATTCCCAATATCTTCCCACGTTTCTACCAATAGCAATTTCTCGTGATCGTCATTGCTAATAATCGATTTTTTTAATGCCCAATCATCAACTTTTTTAGTTCTGATCCTCGACACGTCCAATTTCAAATGCTCTTAACGAGATGATGCGTTGTGTTTTTCTTCGTTTTAACCTCACTGTAAACAACTGGTTTCTTCTCTCTCACAAACAGTTTCTTGTTCTCACAATTCTCGCACGTGGTCAAGTCCAGATATGGAAATAACTTATGCACGGTCCTCCCCACAAGGGAGGCGCGAGCTGAAAACTCTCGTAGATCCTTTTTCCAGGATCAAGGATGGGTTCGGGAGAGAGATCCCTTTTCTCCTCCCCCTTTCCCCCCCTTGCTCTTCCTTTTCTCCACTTTTGGGGAAACTTCGGACCTTTCTTTCTTTCTTTCACTAAGAGAAACTACGTCTTTCGTGCGTGTCATATACAGTGATATTTCATACTTAACATTCATTGCTTGCATTTCAGCACCAGACCCACTCCAGGGTACGGAGGCTACATCAGCCGATATCCAGAGGAACCCAGACCGCCTCAGGGATCCTGGGATGAGGTTTTTGTAAACTTTTCTAAGTTAACTTACAGGTAAGGCGTAAATGACTAAAATTTACATCGAATACCTCGAATAAGAATTATGCTCGGGAAACCATATATTAATCATTTCTCCGCCGTATGGATGCCGGAAATAACGACACTGACCGCTTTTTAAGGTTTTATAAACTGAACTGAGCTCTTAAACATCGTTTTGAACCAGCAAAAAAATCGAATCCGCACGCTTTATGAAAAATTATTTATTGACTCAAATGATGCTCTTGCGCCAATGTGGCCAGGTTTTTTTTCAGCCGCGCTCTGTGGTTTTTAGTGTGCCGCCTGGTCACTAATGTTAGATAAGTTTTTACACTTCCTCTTTCAAGTGTGTGTTGATACACTGTATACGCTTTCTTTTCATAACGAAAACCGGTCAAAAAAAAGAGAATATATCACATGTACAGAGCCAGGGAGAGTAAATGTTATTAAGTGTCTACCGTTTATTTTCGTGACCCAATGGAAAATCTTGCTCTTGCCATTTTCTCTTACCTTTGAATCACTTTTTTTTCGGTAGATCATATCCGTCCTACGAATACACAAAGGAGGAATTTGCTCACGAGGGACCACTGAGTAGACTTGTCACCACTACCCACCCCTCCAATCCGTTTAACAAAGTTGATAAATGGAGCTCTCGACCAAAGAAACTTTGCAAACGCACTGACCATTCAAAATTTATTTTTGTCAATTAAAGATTTTCTGATCGCTTTGTAGAAATAATAATCTTTCTTAGGAAAATGTATCGTACAGTGTTCTCAGGCATTTAGAGTTTCTAAGCATTTATTTCGTTTAGTTAAGCAGAGAGGCCATTTTGTAAATTGCAAGCTGATTTTTGGAATATTTTTTTCTTTGGTTTGTTGCCTAGAACTCTTGCAAATGATTTTGAACCACTCTTTTCTAAAACTAAATGAAAAGGGTTAGTCAATGTAAATACAACTGAAATGAATTGTTTTCGTATCAAAAAAGAAAACGAACAAAAACATAGTGAACAGGTGTATCAATGGAGACGGGCAATAACTAACATAAAATAAACATTGTTTTGTCTGAGGCGATATTCGAAGGAAACATTTCAGCTAACAAACCTGTGCAAATTGAATGCGGAATGTTCATCGATATCATTATTGTATGGAAATGAAAACTTGTTGACGAATTTTAAACGATCTGTATCGATAAGTTATTATTCTCCTTTTGAAGTTTGGGTTAATTTGGATTCGTTTCGTTTGTTCATCAGAAGGCGATAAAAAGTGCAGAACTAATTTCATTGAAAGGAAGATTTTCGCCTAATCGCCGCGGATATAATTTATCCGTGTATTCCCGTAAAGCTGAACAAATAGTAGGAGGTGAAAGGAGAAACTGAGATCTCTTCATCAGTTGTTCGGGATTTATTCATCTAATCCAAGCTGAAGCGTTGAAAGGCTTTTCCAGTGTTTGGAAAAAGTAGTGTATTCAACAAAAGACTAGAGTCCCAAATTCAGGCAAGTGGCTAAGAAAGTTTGGCTTTAGCGTAATATTCTGTCGGGACATTTCGCCCGCTTCAAAACATCGTTCTCTTCCATATGACTAGAGCTTAAAAATGGAAGGATTTAATCAGTCATCAATCGACCATAACGTTACTGCGAATTGGGTTAATTCAAACCATTCTAAATTTACTATGAATTGTCTTTACGTGGATTTTAGTCCAAGCGCCATTGACAAGTTCTACATTACCTACATCTTGAGCATTGTTCTAAACTCTGTTTGTGCATTGCCAGCAAGTATACTAAACATTTTGGTCATATTAGCAGTATGGAGAAAATCCCAATTACACAACCCTTCAAATTTACTACTCAGCAATTTAGCTTTGACTGACTTTGGCGTGGGTTGTTTGGTGCAGCCCGTCTTTGCCGCGCACAAAATCGCCGCTCTACACGAGAATATTCCAGTTCACTGCATCGCGTCGCTCGCCAGCAAGACCTTGGCTTCACTTTTATGTGCAGTTTCTCTTCTTACACTAACTGCTATTAGTATCGACAGGCTCTTAGCACTCGCATTAAGCGTGCGTTACCGCACTGTGGTTACCATTCCGATTACCACGCGCGTCGTGATACTTCTGTGGTTAGTAGGCATTTTAGTAACCATTCCGTTGTTTGTCTACCCAATGAGTTTTCTTTATTGCATGATCTTAGTAATGGTGATATGTTTAACAGTTACAATCATCGCCTACACTAAGCTGCTACATCTAATTCACCGACATAAGACAAAAGTAGGGGTGGATACACGGCAAACGACAAGACAACAGAGCCAAGAAACAGCCGAAATGGCCAACATTGCTAAATACAAGGCCTCCATTCGCACTGTTATCTACCTGGTTATCATAATGGTGTTGTTTTACTCGCCATATCTTGTAACAAACATGGTGCTGGTCGCAGTGGAATCGCGCAACGACGACCGTTTCAAAGCAGCTTTCAACATTACTCACAGCATTTTGTTCATGAATTCGATCGTGAATCCCGCTTTTTACTGCTGGAAGATAAAAAGCATCCGAAACGCCGTCATCGAGATGCTCCCTGAAAGATTCCAGGAATAAAACTAAAAAAAGCATTGAAAGTTGTCTTTGCCTGACGAAATAAAGAACAGTGAAGAGTACAAGGAAAGGATTGTCGTCCAAAAGTATTCATTTCCACTAGGGACACTTTAAGTTTCACTTCAAGACTTGTAAACCTTACAGGGTAGCAATGGGGGTCCTGATTCAGTTTCACGCATGAATATGAGAAAAATTCACGCGTCACGTGTACTTTGAACAGTATTTCACGCGTCATAAATTTAAAAGGGAAAACTTCAAATCTCACTTTACCTTACTTTCTGTGAAATTAACGCGTCACAGATTAATTGTAGGCTTTATCACGCGTGACGTATAAACACTTTACTGCCCTTACTATTAAGAACCAGCTGAAAGCCTTTTTATTTCCTACGCCCTGAGATCTACACTGTGAAGTATTATCGTTCGTGTCTCTAATTGGATGAATGATATATTTTCACAGTCGTTCGCTTCGTACTTCACAATGTAAATCTCATTGTGTATGAAATAAAAACATGGAAACTCGTAAATAAAAATCGTTCGTGCGCTCTTTCCATAGAATAATCTTAGTAAAGTTGCCTTTTTTATTAACCAAAGGTATCAGTCGCAGATGTAGAATACGAAAAACGCAGCTTTTGCAGTATTTGGAACAGCACTTTAATGGACGTACTAGTGCAAAAAAAGTGTGAAAACTTGGTGGAGAGAAATTGTACTCCGAGGATTCCACCAAGAATCAAAAAGCTCCGAGACAAAATTTTGTCATGTAAAGCATGAAATTTTGCGGTTTTTTAATGTTTGTGGATTTTGCGCATTGTACTTGCGTGTAGACCCATCAAAAATGTCCATTTACCATACGTGTAGCTTACCTCTGTACAACTAAACAAGTAATAAAAATTGTAAATTGCACGTTCCCTTCCTTGTCAATATTCTCTTTCTTGAAGAGAAAATCGCAAAAAAATCTCCCAACAGGATTCTGTCATTTCGAACGGAAAACATCCCCCCCCCAAAAAAAAAAAAAAAAAATTAGAAATCTTCAATCCGTTGGGCAAAATTTTCCAACAAAAACGTTATCTAAAAAAGAAGCAAGTTGCGTACGAATGTCTGATGCTCATCCAACAACTGCTTGTGTCGAACGTAAGTGATACATCTTGACGACGGAACAACCTAGTTTAATAAAGGATTTAATAAACAAGGTCTGAGCTAATTAAATTCAACGGATTCGAACGGTTAATATTGTTGTTCGAAGTCACTCTGCTCCTTGTTCTCGGCCATCCAGGCACGTTTTTTAGCCTCCCTAGTCTGTTACCACTCTCGCCCCTCACCTTGAGTTTTTGAAAATGAAATTTCTCTTGTAAGGGAGATGTACAAGGAAGGAGGGGGGGGGAAGAAGGGTGAAGGGAAATTTGAACAGGATTTACCTCTTGATTTTTGTTTATATCAAGTGAACAAATTCTGTTCTTGGGCTGGGGGAGGGGGTATCAGGGATTAAGCGAAATAAATCTGCTAAGGTTCAGCTGAGCGAAAGAGGATGGCGGGCGTTCAAAATAGTTTGATTGAATAGTTTGATTAAAGTAAAAGAAGGTCACCTTGAGAAAGGATGGGAAAACGCAAGGAATGTTCTTCGTACGTGTTACTTTTAAGTTAACGTTAAGATGAGGACGAATTTTCGTAAAACCCTCAAAATCAAATCTCTATTGAAGCGTTCGAAGAATGTAACGCCGATATTCTCAGGGGGGGAGGCAGATGCTTTTTGGAAGTCATATTCATAAATATATCGTCGTGTTACACGACCTTTGATGTCTCCAAGTGTATCCTCAAGTGTCAACATAAGCAATCCCATAATAATCATGTCCTTCGGAATTGAAACATTTGTAAGAACATAACAGTCCTCGTACTGGAATGATTCCTGTCTTTGTTCTTGTTCGTAGAATCTGAAAAGAACACAGAAATCCAAATTGAAAAGAATTGAATTTCCACCTAACTTTAATAAAATAGTGTTCGTGAAGTCGTGACAAGCTTATTTGATGAGGTTAAAGGGTGATTGACTGGGCTTTTGAATTGAAATGGTTTTGCTTTTTCAATCTATCACTCTTCGAGCCTGCAATGAAATTTATATTTCGAGCCAAAAATTAAATTTAGTATAGGTAGTAACATGATTTCGAGTACAATTTGGTGTTAATAAGCAGAAGAAAAATTTTCAAAGTCAACAAAATTTCACGAGTCCGTAGGGTGAGTGCAATTTGTGGTCTTTGAAAAATTTCAAGTGCTTAGTTACACCAATTGCACCATAAAACATGTTATCACTTATTAACAATTGACATGACCAAAGCATCACAGAGAGTAAATACAGACGAAGTTTTGAAAGCATGTACGCTACTTGCAATTTGCACACGTGTAACAACTTTGCAATCGTGTTACACGAAAAATGTGCTCGCTTTCAGCCAATGAGAAGCACGTAACTTTTTCATGTGTATTGTTAAGCTACAAATACAAGAGCAGAATCGATGATACGGAAAAACAAGAATTCGACTAAGTGTTTCAAGTTTTCCGCGTTCAAATTAACTCTTTAATGCCTTGAACTCCCAACAGTGGATGCATGTTCATAAAGTGTGGAACGGAGAACGGAAACGGAAACGGAAACGGAAACGGGAAACGGTAAATGCAAAAGAAAAACGAGGAACAGAAAAAAGAGAGCGGAAAATAAGGACGGGGAATATTGTTTTGACTCGCGGTGTTTTTGGGCCGGTTTCATTAACTTCGCACTTTCAACAACTGTGCAAACGACTAACATTCAAGGTGAAAAATTATAGAATATTGTGACGTACTTTATGGGCATCCACAAAGTGTACACACTCCAGCCAAGTATTAAGGAAAGATTGTCCACACACTGCACATTCACTGGCGTATTGTAACATCTCCTGTACCTTTGGGTAATGGCGTATTGCACGCTTTACAAACGATCGCCTGCGATAAAATGGAACGAAACAGAGACTTTGAGGAAAAAATTAAAAATGGAGGCAACAACGATGATCTGAATTCAAGCTTTTTCAACTCCGACCAGCGAGGAATCGTGCGCGAGTTCTTAAAGCTGATTAGATAGTACAATTACTAAAGCTCAGATTTGTATTCTTTGTTTCACATTTTGAAAATAATTGAAAATCTTTTTCCTCTTTACCTCCAAGGTCAAAAATATTAAATATTTTTTTGTTTATCTATCTATATCATTGACCTAAATATTTCCCAACGAAATCAACAGGTGGATTGACTTACCCATTTTTGAGATCCTTCAACACTGAGCGAGCTGTAATCTCCTATTAAGTAACAAATCAATCAATGTTAGGGTCACGTTCAATTTTTCTACCGTGTTTACCAAATGATATGTTAGAATGATCGTGCTTTCTTAATGTTTGTTTTTTTCGGAATAAGCCTGGAAAAAAAAATTTTCGTTAAAAAAAGGCAAGTATGCAAGTATGAGTATGAGTCAATTCAATTCATTACGTTCTTTAGTTTGCAAACGACAAGACGGGCAGATTTAAACTTTTTCTGGCTAAAAGAACAGTTTACTACTACATATTTAATCTAAAATTTAATTTATCCACCTTCAGTGTCAAAACTTCATCTTCTTGTTGAGAGTGAACGGGAATATGTTGCAAAAGATTGTTTTCTTCACAATAAAGTTCCTTAAGGGGAAGATGCGCCAACTAAAATAGTAAAATAAAACAATTTGCTTTGGACAGTGCAATTAAGATGCATGAAGTAAAATTACTAAAAACAGTGAACAACTTTTGTAGCTTTTGACATCATGTCAAATTCCACAAAATAAAAGATCAATGCTTTAAATAAATCTGATAGACTGTATTTTAATAAGTTGTCATAACCCCATAAACCAATACTAAGGTGATGGGCAATGGGCAAAAGGCAATGGCCAAACAGAACAAGGAAAATTATTGACCACAGGAAGCCGGAAATAACTCAACGCATGTGTAAACAGGAGCGACTATTAGTCACAATAGGTCTAATTGGTTAGAAGGACTGCATGACATTTCTGGATCAATCATAGAGAGATTCAAAGGTTCTCATACATATGGTACACAGGTTAGGCAAAACAAAAGGAGAGCTTTTATCAAACCTCAGCTGGGAATATTCTAAGTCTATTGGCAGACACATCCAGTACTCTGAGCTGGGTACACTTTGATAAACCCTGTCAAAATACACAAATGCTGACCATTTTTCATGTAACCTACAGTACAAACATGTTCTACAGCTGGCTTGAGAGTAGAAGGGTGATATCAACTGAGAGCTAAAAAAATGCTCAATGAATAAACTTAAGATACCCTACTCAGCTGAAACTGAAACAAAATTGGGATGGTTTGTTTAATAACTTAAAAGTATATGGACTATCAAAATTTTTACTTTGGAAAATAATTCAAGAATTCTACCAGCTAGTTTTGTACAAATAAACAAAACAATAAATGTAGCATGCTGTACAACAAGGGTCCTTGGTAGTAAGACATTAACATTTTATAACAAATCATTACTTCTAATGGTCAGTCAAGTAATTAACAAACCTCTGGCAACTCTTCAATAAAGTTTTTGTACACATAGAGTTTTGTAAGATTCCTAAGAAACGCCATGTCTTCTGGAAGACTAAGTTGGAGAAAACATGAGAACTACATTAGACCTAGATTCACTAGACTTAACTAGACCTAGATTCACATGGTGATCAATGAGCTCATTTGAAAACTGCAGCTTACAAAAAGCTCACTCAATTAATAAATCTACTCTATGAAGTGGGCTGTGAGTACAGACGCCTTTTTGGAATTGTTATCCTACACAATTTTCCCCATGTGAGAGACACCTACAATGATAAATAACAGAAAACAAAGTAGAAAAAAAAGGAATTAATTTCTTTAGAACCAAAAACAAAGATGGTATATATTGTACCTTGATATCTGATTATCAGCAAGATGTAGTTCTGTGAGGTTGATCAAGTGACAAATCTCTGTAGGAACACTGAGTAGCTCATTGTGATCTACACTGAGAAACTGTAACGACACCAACCTGAGATTTGTGAAAAAAATAAAATAAAATAATAACAAATGAAGAAACGAATAAATAAAATCAACAACAAATCCAAAATGTTGGTGCAAATAATCCTTCAACATTGTTGAAATTAACATGACGAGCCCATTTAACCCCTTAACTCCCAGATGTGATTATTACATTATCCAGAAAAGTGGTGATGAGAATTCTCAAACTAATCAGGTAGAAATAGTTACCTTGATCCACCACCAAACTCTGGCAACTAATTTTTAAGAAAAATGTGCAGCAGCTAATTGGGATAATTGAAATTTCAAATCTTTGGAGTTGATGGGGCAATCACAATGTCATAAAATGCTGCATGATTTTGAATGAACTTTGATTGCTAACAACCATTGACTTCAAGCACATCTTGAAAAAACTACTTTTGTTCTCAAATGCGGGTAACACTGTTGAATTTGTTTGGCCACCAAGTTTAAAATTTAATCGATCATCAATTAGTAGTTGATGAGGGAAAATATTGACTGAAGTAATTATTGAGAAAAGAGAATATGAAACAAATTAATTTTATACCTGTTTATTTCACTTGGCAATGTTTTCAGCTGATTTCCATTCAGATTTAAAAAAGTGAGTTTTTGGAGCCCACCTGAAAAGATTCCATGAAATAATTGGTATAATTCCGAAAAACATAATTAATATGACGTTGTTTTAAATGTTCAGGTTTATTCATCGGCTTGTATTTAGAGTACTTACTGAGGACAACAGAATTGAGTTCTCTTAACTTGTTATTAAACAAATGTAGCCTCTGCAAGCCAGCTAAAAAAGAGAGGACTTCTGGAAGAGCTTCTAACTTGTTGTTCCCAAGGTTTAAGGATTCGAGCTAAGGAAACGAATCGTAAACAAACCGGTTGTAAGTATGTAACTTCAGAACAAGAATTCAAAACTTAAACTTCAATCTTCTTACATATAACTCAGGTTGACTATGGTGCTACAAACAATGCTTGGTATTCAGTTCTCTACCTCTATCTTGCTACAATAATGAAGAGTTTTTTTGTTTTTGCGTACTTTTAGCTTATCGTATTCAGTTGAATTTAAACGTAAACATGCAAGACTTGGTAAAGATGTCACCTGTTTGAGAGAAGAAAATTCATCTGGAAGGTCCGTTAAGGTATTGTTTTTCAGGTCTACGGTTTTAAGGGAAGTTATTTTTCCAATTATTGGTGGAACGTTCCGTAAGTTCTTGTTACAAATGCTGAGGGATTTAGGTTTTCCTTTGGTCGCGTTCAATAAAATTCTGTCCGCCATTTTGTATCCATGTTAGCAATGCTCGCGGGCTCGTGATCCTTAAACTCAGTTGAATGTTTACAGGACTGTTTGAGGATAGCGTCGATGCTAGCACTTTGGCTCTGCACAAAGAATTTAAAGAGAATGTTTCAGGCTTCGTCGTGAATCTTTAAACATGAGTGGTGTATCATTTGTATCAGAGACCGAAATCGAGGATGTACGCAAAAAGAAACAGGAAGAATGGGAGAAAGTTAGAAAAGAAAGCGATCCAATCGGTAAGCTAAATTATTTGGTCGAAGATTTCCTGGTGAAGGTCGAGCTAATCAGGCACAATATTTTAATTACGAATACGAATTATTCGGCGCCTAGTTATCTTTTCATCATGCAGATCCTTTAAGGTTTTTTTTTTTCGAATATAGTTGACTAGACAATTTCGTGTGGTGAGGTGAAGTGTTGAGTTTCACTCTCTCGCCCCAGGATCTTCTCGTACGTAGTAAATACAAAGGGTGATATTTTGATGTAATTGTTCGATTACCTTCCTGTTCAATTTTTCTTTAATTAACCACATCCAAAAAGAAAATAACAATGTTAACAATTTGAATCAAGGATCTGAAAATGGAACCACAGCACTTTATGAGATTTTGTATGGTATATATGCTGAATTATAGAATGTATTCAGGCCTGTACATTAGGCCTTATTTTCACTACTGCTCAAGAAGTGTTTAATTTACTACAAAGATCACCTCCATATTCACAACTAAATTGCCTGCTATACTCTCCTACTAATGCAGCACCACAGTTTCTTTTATTAGAAACTTATCCCCCTTACTCAAAAAACAATGCTGTCAATTTCATCAGTCCTAATTTTACTGAGAAACATTTATCAACTAAATTTCTGTTGATCTCTATGTAACAAATAGTAAATCAGTCTGGGATTAATTTTTAACAATGTGGCAGTTTGTTTGGGTTGGTCTTTGTGATTGATTTCTTTCTTAGTGTTTTAAGGAGTGAATTTTTGAGCTGAGCCATTCAGCTTAGCTGACTCTGTTTTGCTTAGTTTGCTACTCAGTTTTGTCCCAGTATTGTATGAAATGAGCCATTATGAGAGCCAGCTTTGCTTGCTGTGATCTTTGCACAATGAACACTGTCCTAAATGTTCCCAGGTCAAACTTTCTGACAGCATAATGACTATATTTACTGGGTAAATGGGTTCCAGGTATGCAAGCTTTTCAGAATCACAACTGTGAACAATGCTGAACTTTTCTCTGCATATTAACCCTTTAACTCCCACAAGTGACCAAGACAGAATTTCTCCTAACAATGTCAATACAATATCAAGCAGACAAGTGATGAGAATAAAAGAAAGTCTTAAAAAAGAGGATTATTAGTTGATCCAATACCAAATTCTCCAAACTAACATCACAGGAACCATACGGCAGACAGTAAGGAGAATTACTAATGAGATCTTGGGAGTTAAAGGGTTAACGCCTGCAGTGCTCATTGAGCACAAAACCAAATTTAACACTAGATTTTCAAACTACCCTTATTTCCAAATGGTAGAGTGCCCTGAGCCAGTTCATGACAATAAGACTTTGTATGAAAGACTACAAGAACAAAAACAGAAAAAACAGGATGAATGGGATGAACAACATCAGTTGAGTAAGTACTTGTGTTTCTTTTTCAGTGCTGAGTGTATTTCAGGATAGGTTTTGAGCCTGATTAGAAACAATTTTATTCAGAGTTTTCTTTGTAACAGACTATCTTGACATATTTTGCCCTGAATAGAATAAATATCTCCAAATTGTTGTCTCATTAAAAAAAGTTTATCTGAAGTTATGTGACCACAAAATTGGGTAATATTCTGCACTCCTGTGAAAGATGATAACCGAGAACTAGTTACAAACAGTGAGTAATGAAGTATCCATTACAATCTCTTCTGTGAGAAAAAATTAATTATGAAAAAAGGTTATCATCAAGAATGAGGAAGGTAAGTGACTTATTATGAACTAAATGAAGTTATTCTACAGTCAATGTCAACAAGATTGTTGGGTTGACTTCTCTATGGCTCATGATGTTTAGGTGTGTATGTTGTGATTCAATTTTATCCTTAGCTCAAATTTCATTTTCTTTTGTTTTTGGGTATTGTAATGTATGTTAATGAGTTTGAAACAAAGGAAAATAAAATTTGAACCAAGGATAATATTGAACCACAACATGTATATTGCATTCAGCTATATTTTATAAGAAATATTAATGTGTACTATTACAGCAAGAATTGAGGACAAGGTGGTTAAACCACAAAGGTCCAGTTGAGTAAATCAGAAATCCAGTTGAGCATTAAGTACACTCGCAAGTAGTGCCATGTTGGACATAAATGACTCACCACGAAAAGTATATCAAAATGCTAAGCACTAATAGGCTAAATGTTGAGATGTAATTTTGAAGGTGATGCCCAAACATCATATCCATATACTACTTCTATATCTTGAAAAATATCTTTTTTTGTTTAGAAAATATGATAAGGGGCCTTGATGGTGATGAGACAGTGTTTCTTGACCTGGTTGCTAAGCAACAAGAGGAGATAGCCAATCGCAGATTTAATGAAGAATCACAAGAAATCAGAGAGTATAGGGTATACAATATAGTTATTGTTTCCATTTATCTTTTTTTCTGTGGTCTTAGTCTTTGTGTCTAGAGCTGATAAGGAAGGAAAGCAATCACACTGTCTGGCCCTAAGTCATTTGTGACTCAAATTTCCTTGTGAGTACCAAGGAGATTCTGATGTTGCATTGAAAGTCATTAAAATCTTTATTCCACATATTCAATTGATTAATTTCAACTTATCATTTCCAATACAAATCTAATTTGATAAGAAAAGTTTGAACCTAAACTATGCTTAAGTAGGCAGAAGTGGTCATCAAATTTTCTTTCTTTTGTTGATTTAGGATGCAGTTTCTCAGTTTCAGAGTGCCATAATAGCTGAGCCAACAACTACCAAACCAGCTGGGTCAGCAGTATCTCAACGAAAGTCCTCACAGGAGTCTGGGGCCAAAAAAAGTCAACTACAACTTATAGCGGGGGCCATTAAAAGAAAAAGGTATGAATACTACTTCATATAAGAGAAGAGAGCATGAATCAGCTCATTTGTTTCATCAAATTTGTCACAAAAAGGTCTACAGCATGCATATATGTTTTGATGCATGGAAACATTGTCACATGCAAGCATGCAATCAATTGCGTCTAAATATATGCATTTCCAAATCAAATGCATAAATATGTCTTTCCTCTTTTCTTTGCAGTAGTAGCAGTAGTCAAGAGTCTCCAGAAAAGAAGTCAAAAGCTTCCAACGAGTTTGAGAAAAGTAAGAATTTTGCAAAATTGAGACGGTTTGATCTTCTACAACTGCTATGAAAAAGTCAGTTATTTCAAAACATTTCGGGCGAGTGACACACTGCGAAGCCCTTCGCGTCTATCTCGCGTTCACTTCGCCTCACGCTCACGCTCACCACTGCTCCCGTCTGGAAAATACAGAAAATTGACACCTGTTCTGAAGGCTTAAAGACGTGTGATTTTTATTATTTTGTGAGTGGGTGAACAACTCAAGAAATCTTTTGCATCTTCTGTAGAAAAGGAGGCACCTAACAGTGCGTTGTCCTTATCTGGGAGTTTGTTGTTATATTCAGTAACAGAACACGCTTTTGAGCTCAAATCCCATCTTATTCCCCACACAGTAACGTCAGAGACACACGAAGAGAGGAACATTAGATCTGAGAAATCAAGTGCGAGTGCGGAAGAAGACGACCTGAAGAAAAGACCTTTTGCAAACAGAACTGACGGTGCTTCGAAATGTGAAACAAAGTCTGGTATTAATCAAGAAAAGCAGGAAAAACAGGTTATACCAGGACTTGGAGCTTATTCAGACTCAAGTGATTCAGACTCGTCGTCTGATGAATCTTAATGGAGTGGTCTCTGGTGAATGAACTTTTTCTCAGTGGTTGGAAGGAAGGTCATAAAACAGAATCTGCGAAGCAGATTCATTTAAGTGAATAAGTTGATAACATTCTTTCTAAATGAAAGTCATGAAAAAGGAATGGTGAGCCATTGGAAAGGTCATCATGCGGACTGAACGCATGCAGTGAGTTTATGTTCAAGTGCAACATGGACGAAAACTTTCAAATGACAGTGAATTTTACTTTGCAGTTTTAGCTTTTCAATAAAAAACTTCAGAATCCAACAGGAATCCAACCTAGTTCAGTGTGGAAAGCAATTTGCCACTGAATTATATTTGCCATAATACTCTCTTTGATTGGTCCAAGTAACTCAAATCACTTCAGATAATCAGATGCAGTACTAAGTCTATCCTAACTTGGTTGCAAGCGTTTTGCGCGCGCACTGGTGCATGTTTACTTATTTGAAGAGTTCTTAATGGCTTTGTCTGTATTTTAATAGGCCGTCGCAACTACTTTGGACATTATCGAAAGGCTATTCTACTCCGGAACCTTTCAGATTCAACAAAATAAATTATATTTGAAACTTAAGCTGCATGAAGTGTAATGTTTTCCTAGGATGAAGTCTTGACAGACCAGACAGATCACCCGGTAAAGACTGTTGGTTGGTTCCAGATAAATCGGATGAAAATATAATTTTTTTGGGAGAGTCTGTATCATGATATCCTCCACGGCTTATGGCTTGAACTTGCAATGAATCTTTTTACAAAGCGCCTCCGTAACACTGACGATGTCAGTTTGGACTGTGAACAAAAAAATTGCGAGGTAGGTTAAAGACGGAATATTATGCCAACAGTTCCGTGAATTTTCGTTGTTAAAAACAGCTGAATTAAATGTCAACGGAATAAAGTTGCTAGTTCGTTCGAAGTAAAATCGCTTTCATTGACAGACGGAATGAATCGTTGTTAGATCAAGGATACTAGGAGCGGCCACCTTCAATGAATGACAGCTTTATAAACTGAAACAACTATTACCAATTCGGGCTTTTACCGTTCTCGTCTGTATCTGCCGGAAGAGACTTGGACCATTGATGCAATACGGTAACTGAAAAGGAAGTCAGCTGTTGTACCAAACAAACGGTCTTTGTCGGGTTGTATATCGAGAAGCAACTTCAGAATCGTAATTAATTTAATACCTTGATAACAAAAACATTTGTTTCCTCTTCACTGTCAGCACTAGAAGCACGTGGAATTATCTAAGAAGCTTCTTTGGGGCTAAACTTTTTATAAAATCCTTCATTTACTTGGCATCTGCTTCGTTAGTTTGTTGTTCCATCTCAATCGGTTCTACGTGGCGCTTCTTGCAAACGTAACAACACGAAGCCACAAGAAGGGCTGTTACAATTCCTGTTAATGCAATGATGGCGGGAACGTTCATACTTTGATTCTTAAAATTTTCGATTACATGGACGCTTTTCGATCAAGTTTGAAAAACCCGTTTCATCAGGACTTTAAACTGGAGCTCCAATTAACTTGTAACAGCAGACATCGAAAAGGACTGACATATCAAATATATTGCGGCTCTCATTAAAATCTCTAAAATACAAATATCATTTACAAAGTGACAGAAATGTCTTATTTTAAAGCTAGTAATGTTTAAACAGAGCGTAGAGCAAACGAAAATGTAATAACGTGAAAGCGCTGCGAGAATTTTAATGAGCAGTTTCAATGAAGATTGTCGCACAGGATATGAAACTAAGTACTGGAAAGTGCTGACTAAAATTGCGTTTTCCTCGAAGACAAAAGCAGAAAGAAAACTTCGTTTTTGATTATAAAAAAACACCTGTGGTACAATGAGGTTTTTCGGTTATGGCAACCTTCTGAATAAATCTTGCACAACTTTTCTGATTTTAAACCTAGCCCATACTTAAAAGAATATTGAGGCATGATTGGAAGCAAAAGTGAATTTCCTTGAAATTTTATTGCTGTAATATTGCGTGTATTATAATTCAAATTTAAGACTTCGTTTGCTTGAATGGTCTTCAGCGAAACTTCAAAGTTGCCGCCTCCTCACAAGAGATTACAAGCAATGTTGCTACCAATTAGTTTCCAATAAAAACGCTTCGGTGAAAGCGAGCCATTTTACATTTCTAAACAGCTTCGGAATGAATCGATATGATCTGTGAATATCTCTCTGGGATATTAAACCAGTATGCATATTCTCCATATTATTTTGTATACATTAACTAGGGTGCTGACAAGGAGAATTTGTCTAACAATCAAGAGCTTTTTGAGTTGGTGATTATTTGCTCTATTCGTGTGACCCCGCTGTTTCATTCAGTGGTGGCAGTGCAAGGAGAGATTAGATGCCAGTCATACCTGGGAATTAAAGGGTTGATTAAACAAAACTCCTAAACTCAATGGTTTTAAAAATAAGGTATTTGAATCTTTCGTTCGCTGAAAAACTTTGAAAAAAGAACTTAACAGTTATTTGTTTGAAAAAGGTTAGATTGCAAAGCTAGGACTGCATCATGCATTATGAGGCCAAGCAGTAAGGTTTACTGCTTGGCCTCATAATGTACTTGGGTTAGTTGTTTATCATCTTCTGAAGCGTGATTTTCGGCTATGATTAACAATTGCTCTAATTGGTGAGTATCTAACCACGTTTTGATGAGAAATTTCTTTCGCAAGACCGCTGATGTACGGCTCTTTTTTGTATTCTCTGTTTATATTCTCTTGGCTTCAGTTATTCAGTTTTTACTTTCCCTCCTGACGTTTTGAAATTAAATCTTGTCAGCATGACAGTCTTATAAGAATGTAGGTCTGCTATTAATCTTTCAAAATCGATCAACAAAATCACGGTTAAATATCCGAAGTCCTACTTATCATATCTAAAGCATTTATGTAGACATTTCTGTAGATATTTCTCCTGAGAGAACTATTCATACCCCGGTTGTAAATTTTTTTGTAACAAAATTCTAGAGTGAATTATTTTTTACTGACTAATGATTTTTTTTCTTAGTTGTGTTGGGTATTGTTGGTCAATATGTTAAAAATTGCTACATGATGTTGTTACAAATTGCGTAGACCGACGATATTTTACAAAATGCGTAGCTCGCTGTTGTCATAAAGTGCTGAAATAGCTTTTCCAAAATGCCGCCACCGTAATGACAAAATTCTTAGGTTCTCACAAAATGCGTCGTTGTTACCGGCCATGACTAACATCCTTTTTGTTTTGGTGGGGATTAATTTCAAACCCTGTTCTTGCACTAGTGAGTATCATATTTAATGAAGTTTTCTTCATCTGGGGAACATTTACACATAAAAACTCACGACTAAGTTTAGAGGTATCATGAAGTCTATTTATATTTGCCAATTATTCTCCACAGCAAAACCAAGACAAATATTAAAAAAATTAATCAATTTTCGGCCTTAATGTTCAATACAAAGATTTTTTCTTCGTTAGCCTCAGGTACACCACTGATAATGTCCGTAGCCACAATACTGTTTGCCTAATCATAGAATGAGATATGTTAGGTAAATAACGTTGATTGACACGATTAATCGGTCGGTAAACAGAAAATCAATAAGAAAAAACACAACAAAAGAATATAAATTCAAAAAGGAGATAGAAAGGTAAATTGGTATTCTTGTAACCCCAGTGAGCAGTATTTTCAAGAGGTTTGATTTTACGTAATGGCTTCCGTTTCAGATGGTCGATCGTTTACAGCATAACTAATTACGTCTCGCTGCGTGGTTGAAGTAAGTACCTAACCAAAATAAAGCCATTCCAAGAGGGAAGACAACATTTGTTAAGTTAAATATGACAAACTTACAATCTGCAGTACATCAAATGAAAAGGTATTTGTATACCGCATAATTAATGACGTCTCGCTGTGTGACTACAATAACGTATGTACCTAATAAAAATAAAGCCAATCTAAGCCTTGGAATGGCTTTGTCTTCCCTTTAATTTGTTAAGTTAAATATTACAAACTTACAACCTGCATTACATGAAATGAAAGGGTATTTGGTATGTCGATAACCAAATGTTTCTCTTTACAGAAACTCCAAGATAAAATTCTGTTTTGTGGTGTAGAAAATTCCTGCATGCTTCCTATTCGCTGAGAGATCAACAGACGCCCGAAGGAGAACGAGAATGTTGATGTTAGCAGCTGCTGCTATTGAGAGACACACTGTGTGTTTCTTCTAATCACATTATTGTATAAGTTTTCAATTCGATATCGAAATGATGGCCTTGAATAAGTTTCTCCACATTTTGGTTTGGAATGTTTTCATTCTGTATTCTTGCAGCGGTGAGTATGACATTCCAAAGTTTTCCTTAAGTGAAGAGCGTCTATTCGAAATCTATCGATTAATTTCAGATGCACCATGTAGCCTTTAAGATTTAAACCAAAACTATGTTATCCCTAAAGCGGATAATTATTTTAGAGTGATTCTCTGCTCAGAAAACAAGGTAAAGAAAGACAAAGAAAAAAACTTAATCAGTTTTCGGCTTCTTTAACATAAGTTATCACCTCAAACATGCTTCTTTCGTAAGCCTCCGATGCACCACATTTTTTAATAACACTACCGCTGACGCAATCGTACATAGAATATGAATTGAATTTATTTTAAGTATGTCAATTTGTAAGTAACACCAGTCTGTTAATAATGTTAGAATCGTATTTTGTGTGTATTGCAAATGAAAAAAATTGAAAAATGGTTAAGGAAAAATCCAATTATGTTTATTTAAAACCCTCTACAGTATTTTGGTTTGAGATTTTCATTTTAATGCATTTCATAATGCAAAAATTAATTACAAGATGGGGAAACAAGAGAAGATGTTTATTGAATTTAGTGGCTGAAATGAAAACAAAATAACTCGTAGAGTAGCCTGAGAGTGTGGAATAAATTTCGATATGATAAAAACAATAACTACAATAAATAAAGTAAATGGATGACTCTTTTGTATGAGAATCAAATGATTCTCAACAGTGAAGCACTAAATGTGGTAATTGCAGAAAGTTAAACCTGGAAAGAAAAAGAAGGAATTGGATATTTGCGTTTCAGATGTCGATCGGGCTCGAGGGGGAAAGGTTTTACTTGGAAAGTATTTTTAATTGAAGATCAACTGATTGCTTAAGATCTATTGCATGTACTATTAGTGAAAAGTCTTTTATATTTTCGTTATAGGTAACGATTGTCGCAACATTGTTTTCAAAAAGCCAATAATAGGCAAGGCAATGGAAGGTCATGTGATCAAGAGTGAAGAGGTCACTAATGCAAGGAGCTGCCGAGTGATGTGTTATATAGAGCCAAATTGTGTGTCCATCAATGTTGGGCCGTCAGAGGGAGGGAAACACAGATGCGAGCTAAACAACGCCACTGTTGGAAACCAGTTTATGTTCTCTCTTGAAAATAGATCAGCATACACCTTCTTCGCTATCGAGGTAAAATATTACTAACGTTGATGCCTATATACGAGTTTGGAGCCTATATTTCGTTTGCTGGGAACTGACTTATTTTTTTCAACCAGAATCCCTGCAGCAGCAGTCCATGTTTAAACAATGGCACCTGTCAAGCTGGATTCACCAGTAAAGGTTTTCGATGTCTCTGTCAGCGTGGATTCACTGGTGAATACTGCAGTAAAGGTGAAAGAAGTTTGTCAAAAGATGCGTTTGTTAATTCATAATTCTTTATACACCTAGCACCATGCATAGCAGGCGTCATGATTTCCTGGCGAGCGAGTGGTAAATATTCCGATGCAATGTTTAATAATTTTTCACCGAAGTGCAGGTAAAAAGTGACAGAAATTCCACCACTTTCACCGACACTGAGGTAAATAATTTTCTTATGGCATATATCTCACCGAAGCAAACCTCTTATAAATTAGCGCCATGCACTGTAAAAGGGGATATTGACTAATTTAGTTCTAAATGTTGTCATGATAACCGAATCCATATAAATGCCGAACATCGTGTTTTACCGCTTGCTAGTTTACAGAAACTGCGCTGAAATCTGGAGATCAGGGGAAACAAGAGACGGTGTGTACAAGATCAGTCCTGACAATTTGCCTGCTTTTGAGGTGTTTTGTGACCAAACAACAGCTGGTGGAGGATGGACAGTGTTTCAGAAGAGACTGGACGGCTCAGTTGATTTCTACCGCTACTGGAACGACTACATACATAGCTTTGGCAATTTGAGTGGTGAATTTTGGCTGGGACTGGAAAATATTCACCGCTTGACCTCAGATAGCAACAACATGCTAAGAGTAGACTTGGAAGACTTTGAAGGGAATATTACATATGCTCTATATGACATGTTTGCTGTCATGAGCGAGGATGACAAGTACAAGCTGAGCTATGGTACTTATTCAGGTGATTTAATATATTTTACAAGTGAACAGTTCTCTTGTTTCCTTTTTTAGCTTTTGCACGGTTGTCGATTAGTGGAGACAATCTAAAAAGCTAACGATCAAAACCTGGCGGGGTGTTAGAGTAAATAATTTCCAAGAGAAGTATACATCATTCTTTCGAATTCTTAATCTTGCACTAATTCTCTGCACTTCTCTATTGCTTTCCTATATTTGCACGCAAACAATCCAGCTCCCCCCTCCCTTCCAAAAAGGGAGAAGAGAACGAATTATAAAACGAAATATAAAACTTAGCCCACTAAGCGTAAGGAAAAATTTGGTCATTTTCACTAATTTAAGTTTACAGGATGCACTAAAAATATATATAGATCTGCAAGAACTTCCAAATAAAAACTCAAATCGTACACACTAAACGTAACAAAATCCTATTTATGACAAAAAATTCTGAATGAAGTTTTCCGCTACTTAATTGGTGCCAGTTCCTTGAAGAAAAAAATAAAAATTTTGGTTTTATGCCGGTATTTAGGGGAAATTTGGTCGATTTCTTTGCTCGCTCTCTTCAAGTATACAGTGTAACAAATTTCCTGGCTTAGAGCGTGATCTGTCAGTTCAATTGCAGGTTTGTAATTTTGATAGAAATTAGAACAGGAAAATCTTATTCCCAACGTAAATGCATTTCCAAATTGTAACCCATTTGTGTTTTGAGCCTATAATCTCTGTGGGAATTTATAATTTAATAAAGTTTAGGATCCGTCCGTACTTTACACATTTATGTTATAGTGCTTAATCAACATTAGGCAGCGGACTACTCCGGTGATAAGTAATTTCGGTGAGGTAACTGTTTGTTTATTTTATGTCTCAGGAAATGCTGGCGACTCTCTTATCTGGCATAGAAATCAGCCCTTCTCCACCAGAGATCAAGATAATGATCAGTGCAGCTGTAACTGTGCCATTTTGTATGAAGGAGCCTGGTGGTACAGCGGATGTCACCATTCGAACCTGAATGGCTTTTATCACCGTGGCAGTGACTCCCCCTATGGTCGTGGTGTGAACTGGCTCCACTGGAGGGGACATAATTACTCCTTGAAGAGAACTGAGATGAAAATAAGACCAATGAATTACTGATCGTGGCTTACTTCAGCTGATCGAATACCACAGACACCCGACAAGAGCTTCGGGCAATGGAAATTCCTTTTAATTTTTTTTTTCTATAAAGGGGGGAGGGGAAATGGGAGGGGGTTAAATGAGGGAAACTCACGCGAGACGGGAAGCACGTGACACGTGACGGTACAACCATCTGACCAACGAAAACGTGACTCCCTTCTTGCAGGATACAGAAATTTTGTGTTTCAGTGCTTTGAATTTGCCGTGCTATCTCGATCAAATGGTCGTGGCTAGCCTGTTCCAAGGGTTCAGTTGTAAAAAGGAGCGAAAAAGTTACCGACGCGGAAGTAGCGGTAGTTACAATAAACGCCGCTTACCGGCGGTCTCTCGCCACCTAGAGATCTCTCACCGCCTTATGTTTACCTTGCGAGCAGGCTTTCGTGTTTTGGTTTCACCTTGCGGCACAGCCGCATATTATACAATCGGCTGCCGCTTAGGGAAAAAGTTAGAATCGGCAAAGTGAAAAGGCGTGGGAGGCTTGGGTCGGAGCCTTGACACAAGTCTCCCTTATTTTAACACTCCTCTGTTTTTTGCGCCATCTACTATCGCGCTTCTTTTTACTAACTGAAAGCCTGGAACAGCTTAGGTTGTGGATTTTATTTCAAACTAAGCCCGGTGAACCCAACGCTTATGTGAAACCAATATTTAATCAGGGTGTGGAGATTATAAACGGAGTGTATTTACCTGTCATTTCCTTTTTTTTTTTTTTTTTTTTCTTTCTAACAGTCCGCCGAGACCATGGGATAGGTAATCAAGACAGCACGTTTTTTCTTCTCTTGAACAAATAGAGAAGCAATATGTTGAAGCAGTGCAATATAGCTCAGGTACTTGTTAGCTCGATCGATCTTCAAAAGCCCGATCAAAATCAAACACCCCTAGCGGCTATTTTGTAGCGTTGCTGTTATAAGACCGGTATTTAACAATTAGCCAACTGCCACTTATAATTAGTGTAATTATCAGAGGTCCAAAGGCATGATAAAAAGAAGTTTGGAGTGACATAAAGTTGGAAAGACTCTAGTTTTTCTCAAAACCAATCATCACCAGGATTCCATATGTCTATTGATTTGAAACCTAGAGGATTCAACACATATTTTGCCTTCTACTCATCGTTTGAATATGTCCCTGGAGTTATTCGTTTCATGAGAAGTTTTTAGGGTCATCACGATGTCCTTCCAAATACGGAAATAGCTTTCAAATTTTGCGCAATTTATAGTAAGATAAGATGACACATTTGTGGAAGCTTTTACGGTTAAAAATATAGAAACATGTATTTTCCTCTTGGATGCGTTCTCAAGATGGCAGTGTTCTTGAAAAAAAGCCAGAAATGCAAAAAGTTTCATCGGAATATGATGATCATGCCATAATCATCATATTTCCGATCATATTTTACACACCAAGCATTTGAATCCCATAGTAGACTGAGAGGGTCTTTTTAGATAAGAGTTCGCCCTTGAGAGTGACATGAGTAAATTAAACAGACTCGAGAAAACCATCTCCTAATCAGCACAAATTTGAATGAATAAAGGATTGTAGATTGTAGATAGTTTATTCTGATTAAAATCGCAGCCAAAAGCTGAATTAGATTAATCGTTACAATAGTAAAATCTAATAAAAGTATGAGAAAAGTATAAGAAAAATGTACACAGATTAACTACAATTACTATATATGAATGTATTCATGAGTCTCTTCGTCTTAGCCAGAGGAACATTAAATTTCCTCTTTCGTCTCAAATTGAGCTCACAGTTGTTCTGAGGAGGCAGGAGCTTAGGAGGTAAGTTTCTAAAGAAACTGTGGTGCTGCGTCGTTGGGAGAGTATAACAGGGTAATTTAGTATTATCAATTGAGGTGTTAATATAAATTGGTCACCGTAAAGAGTTTAAAAGCTGACATTTCGTGCGTTAGCCCTTCCTCATTCACTCTGAAGAAGAGTTAACGCTCGAAACGTCAGCTTTGAAACTCTGTACAGTGGCCAATTTACGTTATCAACTTAGTTGATAATATTAATTACCCTGTACAAAGTTGTATTGGTTTGATACATCTTGCTTCAGAGTTTTTTCAGAGAAAAAGTGGTTGGGTAAACACAGCGCTCAAACGTAGGGGAGTGGCCAATTTCAAAGGGATCAATTTTGGCCGGCTATGCGCTAATTCCCCGCGCTAAATTTCGGAGGAAAACATAAGAAACAACCGCTTACTCGCAAAATAAGCGAAGGATTACATAATTAGGGCAAAGGAAATCTCGACACTTTCCGAACGCAAAGCTTATTCAAATACGGTTATCTTGTTGATTTACCATGGTATTTTGAGCTTTACCGAAAAAGTCATACGCTTTCAAATGACCGTGACTTACTGGCTTGTGTGGTTGTTTGTAGCCCGTCTAACAGTCTAATACCGCCCCACCGAGCGATTGCAACGTTTGCCCATGTGTGGACGTTTGACTGCTGTGTTACAAGGGTACTTATGCGACTCGTGCACTGCCTGTTTCACTTCTCATTCAATATGAGTGGTAACCCTTTTACCTCTAAAATGGTGATTCTGATAACCTTCAATGACTCTATCCAATCCGTAGGGTAAGCGAATTAAGACAAATGTGACGGAGCCGGGCCGACTGTTATCACCAAATTTCCCTCCAGAATGTTTCTGTTTCGTTTCTCTCAACACTTAGGCGTGTACTTTGCCTCTAGAACAATATCCTGGAGTAATCTCTTTGAGCCCAGCATTTCCATGCTTAGCTATGTTGATCTTCGTTCTTTTGCGCTTTTAGAATTACTCATGCGCATTTTTGAAGCAATTTTCGACTTCAAAGGAATCATTCGCTTCAATGCACATCATAGACTGGATAGTATGGGTAGATGGGAAGGTAGTTTGCTTTAGGTCTTTCGCTCATGACTTGCGGACCTCGCAGTGCTCAGTACCTAGAGATCCAATCATCGAACTTTCATCTCCGCCTTCTTCAAAGAGTAACGCACACCCTTCCATCCAACCCAGTTCACACCAGTACCTACGAGGGAGTGGTGCCCACGAGGATACAAGCCATTCAGAGTCGAGGGGTGACACTTGTTGAACCACTAGTCTCCTTTGAACTTAACGGCGCAGGTGCGGTTTATGTCAATATCATAATCTTAATATCTGGTGTTAGAGGATAAATTGCAACACCAAGCAAGAGAGTCACCAGCATTTCCTGAAACATTAAACCAACAAAAGAGGAGATAGTAGATGGAAAAGTGGCCTTAAAACAAATTCATCCGGTTTCCAAAGCATTGCCTGCCCCATGCTTAACATAGATCATCTAACCATCCAGTTAATGAGTGTCATGCGGTGAGAAAGATTTGCTTTCCCTTCTTGTTTCGTTCCTTGTCACCTTTATGGATCTTCTTTAACCGCGAGTCTATCGCAAGATGAAAGAAAAGTATCCAATTACCTGAGTAATTACCAAGGATCAGCTTGTACTTAGTCGTTTCACCTATAATCCTTTCTCGTCTGCGTTGTTCACTTGAACATATTATGTCCACCAAGGAGGCAGCAGCGAAGAGCCAAGAAGCTTTTCACAACACGAATCGGCCACTGAGCTAAATAGACACGAATAGTTAAAGTACGGAATAAGCAAGTGATAAAAACCAAAAGGAAAAAGAAGAGGCAATGGAACTTAAATATGAACCATGAGGACACGTCCTTAAGGATTCTTAAGAATTCTTTGGTGAAACATCTGACTTAGGAGATTAATAGCTTATTCCATTATTTTCAAACTTTCCAGACATTGCTTTGTCCATTAAAACATCCATTTATTATTTAGAGTTAATTTCGAATCATGTTGAATTTCTCTCATATGTCTCGGGACGGTTGGGTCCCATTGCAGATTTTGAAACTGAACAAAAGTGCAGTATTTGTCATTATGCCAGAGCTTATCAACAGAACTGCTGCAACTATGATAACTTTGGTTTTCAGTATCAACCGAGTTGATAATGTAAATTAGCCACCGTAAAGAGTTTCAAAGCTGACGTTTCGAGCGTTAGTTCGAATTTTCATTTGCCTCTACTATTATTATTATTATTATTATTATTATTATTATTATCATTATCATTAATATTTTTTATCATAAATTCTATCAAAATTTCTATGAATTTTTGATGCAAGACAACTTAAGATGATATTCTATTATCAAGGAACAGCTTGCAAAAGACAGTTTCACATTATGAATGCTATGATTATCTGATGTCCGAGATAATTGCAGGTATATTCTCGACTGAGTCATCAACAAGGTATTTCGAATTCGTCTTTTTATGTCGCGATAGTTATAACGCATGAAAGATAATATAACAATAAATACTAATTAGTTTACTCAGCTCTTTTTTCTTATCAAAGTGGAATTCACGTTAAAGCTACATAAAACAACTTATTCATTAAAATTTCCTCTCTGTCGGTATATGACGGATCTTCCAAAGAAAGCTTTCAAAAGAGTTCTCCACAAATTGTTATTTGATATCTTAGGAAAAGAGGATATCTATATTCAAATCTCCATGATTATTAAAAAAGTAGGTACATAGATACACTCGTTAAGTGTTTAAATGTCTGCTTTTCTTATTCTGTACATGTGTTATCATTTAAGAGTCAGAGACTCCTTCTCTTTAGATATAGATAATTTGTGTTATTCATGTACTTGTCTTGGCAAGGGGCAAACTATCTCACTTTTCTTTTTTTGTACTAGCAAAGAATATAGAACAAACAAAGGGAGAATTTTGTGAGAATTTTTGTAAAAAGACCGATTTCAAATCGAAAAAAACTTATGGAAGTCAAAGTGAACTAAGATTCAGGCAGAATTTCAACGAAAAATCAACACAGATGTAGAGAGTGAAGCATATTAAATACAGTCAAGACGCCAACATAATATTATTTAGTCTCGAATATGCAACCTCTATAGAACATCAATTCTAACTTAAGAACGCGTTATAACAGAGCACAAGGA